GGACCAACTTGAAAACTGGGCCCATAATCAAAAATCTAAATACATGTTTAGATTCAGCATATCAAAGCACCCCATATATTCAATTTTTGTTAAAATCAAACAAAGTTTAAATACTGGACCCTATTTTGGACTAACTTGAAAACTGGGCCCATAATCAAAAATCTAAACACATGTTTAGATTCAGCAAATCAAAGAACCCCAAGAATTCAATTTTTGTCAAAATCAAACTAAGTTTAATTTTGGACCCTTTGGACCTCAATGTAGACCAATTTAAAAAACAGGACCCAAAATTAAAAACCTAAATACACGGTTAGATTTGGAATATCAAAGAACCCCAATAATTCAATTTTAGATGAAATCAAACAAAGTTTAATTTTGGACCCTTTTGACCTCAATATGAACCAATTAGATAACGGGGTCCACAAATAAAAAATCTAAATACATGGTTAGATTCAGCATATCAAAGAACCCCATATATTCAATTTTTGTTGAAATCAAACAAAGTTTAATTTTGGACCCCAATTTGGACCAACTTGAAAACTGGGCCAAAAATCAAAAATCTAAATACATGTTTAGATTCAGCATATCAAAGAACCTCATATATTCAATTTTTGCTAAAATCAAACAAAGTTTAATTTTGGACCCTTTGGACATTAATGTAGACCAATTTGAAAACTGGACCCAAAATTAAAAATCTAAATACACTGTTAGATTCGGCATAACAAATAAATAAATGTGATCAAAGATTTTACAAATCTAATGCGCCATACTGTGCAATTAAAGATTACTTCTTGAAATTTTTCAATATTTGAAATTTGAAAAAAAAATAATATTTGAAGAATAATTCTTTTTAATTTCTGAAATCTGAAATGAGAAAAAATTGGCCCCCCACAATTTCTTTTTATCCCCCCCCCCCCTTTTTCCCCCAAAAAAATTCTTTCCCTCAAGATATGGTCATAATCTCAATTCAAATTTCCAATGGAGTTGGCAACCATAATTACCCATTTAAATTTACCATAGTGCTAACTTAATCTATTTTATAATAGAATTAATAAAAATATAGTGTCAAATCTTTCATATGGATTTTTTTGTAAGAAAAAAAGATGAAAACATTTGCAGATATTTTTACTGGTCTTCCTTTATAAATATGCATTTCTTTAAACATAATTTAAAAGCAGTGTAAGGGAAGTAACCAAAACGTTGTATTTGGATTACCTCCCTTACACTGTTTTAGATTATCTTTATTGTTCATTAACCATTACTTTATACATAATTTAAAAGCAGTGTAAGGGAGATAATTTCAATGATGTATTTGATTTATCTCCCTTACACTGCTTTAAATTATGTTTTGTACTAAAGTATTTGTCCATTAACCAGGACAACCTTGTTTTTCCCCCTTTTTTGCCCCTAATTCCTAAACGGTTTGAGCCATTACCCCCCAAAGCAAATCCTAACCATCCCTTTGTGGTATGGAAACTTGTAGTATAATTTCAGAGAGATCCATACACCGTTCCACAGTTATTGTCTGGAAACTAGAAAATGCTCATTTTTGGCCCCTTTTTGGCCCCTAATTCCTTAACTGTTGGTACCATAACCCCCAAAATCAATCCCAACCTTCCTTTTGTGGTATTTAACGTTATGGTCAAATTTCAAAAAGATCCATTCACTTAAAGTAAAGTTAGAGTGCGAAAACCAATATGTATTCGGACGACGACGCCGGACGACGACGACGACGACGACGCCGGACGACGACGACGACGACGACGACGACGACGCCAACGTCATACCAATATACGACCACAAAATTTTTTTGCGGTCGTATAAAAATCTAAATACATGTTTAGATTCAGCATATCAAAGAACCCCATATATTCAATTTTTGTTGAAATCAAACAAAGTTTAAATACTGGAGCCTATCTTGGACCAACTTGAAAACTAGGCCCATAATCAAAAATCTAAACACATGTTTAGATTCAGCATATCAAAGAACCCCAAGAATTCAATTTTTGTTAAAATCAAACTAAGTTTAATTTTGGACCCTTTGGACCTTAATGTAGACCAATTTAAAAAACAGGACCCAAAATTAACAAGAGTGCACACGCTGAAATGTCTCGCCTTCTTTACTAATCATTGATATTATGTTGATAGTCCTAAATATAAAGCTTTATTACAACTGTCACATAAACTTAACATTAACCAAGTAAACTAAACATTGACCAATGAACCATGAAAATGAGGTCAAGGTCAGATGAACCATGCTAGGCAGGCATGTACAGCTAACAATTCTTCCATACAACAAATATAGTTGACCTATTGCTTATAGTTTAAGAAAAACAGACGAAAACACAAAAACTTAACACTGAGCAATGAACCTTGAAAATGAGGTCAAGGTCAAATTAAACCTGCGTGACTGACATATAGATCATAAAATATTTCCATACACCAAATATAGTTGAACTATTGCATATAGTATTAGAAAAAAAGACCAAAACTCAAAAACTTAACTTTGACCACTGAACCATGAAAATGAGGTCAAGGTAAGATGACACCTGCCAGCTAGACATGTACACCTTACAATCATTCCATACACCAAATATAGCTGACCTATTGCATGCAGTATTAGAAAAAAAGACCAAAACTCAAAAACTTAACTTTGACCACTGAACCATGAAAATGAGGTCAAGGTCAGATGACACCTGCCAGCTAGACATGTACACCTTACAATCATTCCATACACCAAATATAGTAGACCTATTGCATACAGTATAAGAAAAACAGACCAAAACACAAAAACTTAACTATAACCACTGAACCATGAAAATGAGGTCAAGGTCAGATGACACCTGCCAGTTGGACATGTACACCTTACAGTCCTTCCATACACCGAATATACTAGACCTATTGCTTATAGTATCTGAAAATCAGAACTTTTTTTTCAAGTAGTCACTGAACCATGAAAATGAGGTCAAGGACATTGGACATGTGACTGACTGAAACTTCGTAACATGAGGCATCCATATACAAAGTATGAAGCATCCAGGTCTTCCATCTTCTAAAATATAAAGCTTTTAAGAAGTTAGCTAACGCCGCCGCCGCCGCCGGATCGCTATTCCTATGTCGAGCTTTCTGCGACAAAAGTCGCAGGCTCGACAAAAATCTAAATACACGGTTAGATTTGGAATATCAAAGAACCCCAATAATTCAATTTTAGATGAAATCAAACAAAGTTTAATTTTGGACCCTTTTGACCTCAATATGAACCAATTTGATAATGGGGTCCACAAATAAAAAATCTAAATACATGGTTAGATTCAGCATATCAAAGAACCCCATATATTCAATTTATGCTAAAATCAAACAAAGTTTAATTTTGGACCCTTTGGACCTTCATATGGATTTTTTTGTAAAAAAAAAAAGATGCAACATTTGCAGATATTTTTACTGGTCTTCCTTTATAAATATGCATTTCTTTAAACATAATTTAAAAGCAGTGTAAGGGAAGTAACCAAAACGTTGTATTTGGATTACCTCCCTTACACTGTTTTAAATTATCTTTATTGTTCATTAACCATTACTTTATACATAATTTAAAAGCAGTGTAAGGGAGATAATTTCAATGATGTATTTGATTTATCTCCCTTACACTGCTTTAAATTATGTTTTGTACTAAAGTGTTTGTCCATTAACCAGGACAACCTTGTTTTTCCCCCTTTTTTGCCCCTTATTCCTAAACGGTTTGAGCCATAACCCCCCAAAGAAAATCCTAACCATCCCTTTGTGGTATGGAAACTTGTAGTATAATTTCAGAGAGATCCATACACTGTTCCACAGTTATTGTCTGGAAACTAGAAAATGCTTATTTTTGGGCCCTTTTTGGCCCCTAATTCCTTAACTGTTGGTACCATAACCCCCAAAATCAATCCCAACCTTCCTTTTGTGGTATTTAACCTTCTGGTCAAATTTCAAAAAGATCCATTCACTTAAACTAAAGTTAGAGTGCGAAAACCAATGTATCTTCGGACGACGACGCCGGACGACCACGACGACGACGCCAACGTCATACCAATATACGACCACAAAATTTTTTTGCGGCCGTATAAAAATGCAAAATTTCCTTAAAATTACCAATTCAGGGGCAGTAACCCAACAACAGGTTGTCAGATTTGCCTGAAAATTTCAGGGCAGATAGATCTTGACCTGATAATCAGTTTTACCCCATGTCAGATTTACTCTAAATGCTTTGGTTTCAGAGATATAAGCCAAAATCTACATTTTATTCCTATGTTCTATTTCTAGCCATGGCAGCCATCTTGGTTGGTTGGCGGGGTCATCGGACACATTTTTTAAACTAGATACCCTAATGATGATTGTGGTCAAGTTTGGTTAAATTTGGCCCAGTGGTTTCAGAGGAGAAGATTTTTGTAAAAGTTTATGGATGACGGACGACGGACGCAAAGTGATGAGAAAAGCTCACTTGACCTTTCAGGTCAGGTGAGCTAAAAATGAGAAAAAAAATCCATTCCACATAGTAAGCTATAGAAGGACCTGAAATGACAAATGTAAAACAATTCAAAAGAGAAAACTAACAGCCTGATTTACGTAAAAAACAATAAACTAGAAACAAATATGATATACAGCAACAAACGACATCCATTGAATTACAGGTTCCTGACTTGGTTCAGATGAAACCCACCAAAACTCAAGATGAACTGAAAGGTAAGCAGTTTCTGCACTACTAAGGACATCTGTTTTTGTCTGTGTTTAAAACCAATAAGTGATAGTCAGAGATGCGTGTAAGTAAAAATATTGTGAATGAAAAGTCAACACACCAATGATACAGCTATAAACATTTGTGTTTATATGAAGAGTCAAAAGTATCTATGTAACTGCTTTAAGACTCCTACAGATTAAAGAACATAACACTTAAAATCCTTCTAATTCACTTTCTCATCGTTGCTTAGGTGAAAATTTAAAGAAATATTTCCATTAAAATTACTTACAGGTCTGTAATCCTTTAGTCCTTGTGGTATACATTTGAAGTCTGGCCCAAAATTCATTCTTACCTTCAAAATAATGTCAGAAATTAGCTAATGCAAAAAATAAAATCAATTTACAGGTTTCAAAAACAAAATTGCTATACCATAGAAAAATGTCCCACATGGCTGTGTAACTGTGGAATACGTTTACAAGTAAACTACAATAGACCAAGGATATTTAAGTTCTTCATCTATAGCATGTATACTGTATAGGTTATACTGGAAATTAAGCATTGATTTCTTCTATGAAACAGAACTAGGGACATTGGCATTAAACTGTTACACATGCTTACCAGTCTATTTATATCTATTTTGCCCGTCTTTTTATATCTCGGGAGTCTAATGCCCATTGAGTATTGTAGATAGTTATTTAGATGGCTCACAGTTATAAATAGGTTCACAATGCTGATACTTTATAAAGATTTCAGGACTTGTTTATAAATATTGTTTACCGTGGAACTTTTGTATTTCTGATGGATTGTACATGTTTAGCATGTTAAAAATCAAAATTTGAAAGTTTGAGTTAATGAATTTGGAAGCTAATTTCTTTTTAAAGATGAGATCAAATAAAATATATGCAGTTATGACATCATAAAAAGGAAAATCTGGATACTCTTTATGAAAATATACATACGTTTTTGTCAATATTTATTATCTTTGTACAGGTATGTAGAGTACATATGAGATACAACTAGATAATTTATCAGTTTGTGGACATGAATTTTAAAGGGTGTTATATATTCCACTCCTAAATATGACATACAGCATGCAGTTATTGTTATGTTTTAAAGAAATATTAAACTTATGCAGTCTCCTCATTTCTAAATTATGTCTATTATTCATATTATTCTAACAAAATCAGTAGTCAAATTTTTTTTGGCCAATTATCATCCTTAACACAGCTACTCCTTTGTATAATAATCATTTTTTTACATAAATGTATGGAAATGGTATTCTAAATGTTTCAAACTTTGATAAGCATAATTATTATACTTTACTATAGCAACCACCAATAAAATAATTAAGATATTACTGTTTTTCATTCCTTCAAGGAAAATAACCCCCTTTTCCCGAGGCAGATTGCAGGTAGGCAAAAATACTGTTTAGGAATACGCGTAGGCAAAATAACTGTTCGGGAATATCTGTGTATCCAGTGAAAATAACTCTTTTTTTGGTGCACAAAGCTAGTGACGTCGTATCGTTTGTTGACATCTGGAAAATATGGTGGCCATCTAAGATTTGGCCAAACAATAATTATATCTTATTATTCAGTTCAGTATAATAATACAGTTATGACCGTCATGAAAATGTAATATCCAAAATTATTAAATCTTGAAGTCATTTTCCCTCGATCCTACAGACCTTGAGGAAAAATAACCTTTCCTTGATTTCATAATTTTGGATATTAACTTTTCATGAATGCCATAACTGTATATTAACTCATTTTATTCCCTATAAGAATTGGTGTTGGTGAAACTTTTGGTTGCCTCTGTCAAATTCATTCATGTTGTGTATATACTCTTACGGTAGTTTAGAGATTATAATTCTATGAACACTTGTGGTTGCTATCTTTACCTCAATTTGTAATCTATGTTTGACCTTACCCTACAGTTTTTATACAGTGACAATGCTGGATAATAAATTCCATCAAATACATCTTCAAAAGCAACACCTTGAGACACTCCATTTTTATACATAATCATCTAAAATAAATCAAAATATTTTGGTTAAAAAAAATAATTTTAGTTTAGTTTTGAGTTGTCTCCCTTTTACTGTAAAGAATTAATATGCATTTAATATTTTGCATGCAAAAAAATTCTTTCAAGTCGTGTTTGAAAATATTACTGTGTTGTCTTTTGTTTAATGTGTCATACTTCCATTAAAAGCATATCTTCCAAACTGATTTCTACAATATATTCTTCTATTTTCATTTGTTTGTACAAGTCAGAGGGTCTCATTAACATTAACTATGATGTGTTACTGTAAATCTAATAACAAAAGGTGTAACATAAGTAGTTATTTTGAAAAAGACCTGATCAAATGGTGTCAAAGATGCATTCAATATACAAGAAAAGAAACACATTAGTCTCACTTCAATCCCACATTATAGGCAAGAAAAACATAAAGAACAACACTATCAGTGTTATTGCCTATAATATGCACCTTGACTTTTTCCTGCATCTTTTTTTTTTGTGACATAGCTTTTATTCTACTACTCTAAATAATGTTATCTGATTTGTTTACTCTACTTATTTAAATTAAAAAATTTAAATCCTTGACACAAAAAATTTATTAATTTGATTACAACTCCCATACTTGTATACAGGAAATTCTGCATGTGATAATATTTGATTATCTACAGGAAATTGACAGTCTTACTCCTGTGTTAATAACCCTGTAAGAGACTTATCAAAATTGTGAATCCTGTTTACTAGGATAAATTTTAAATAGTATATCTATAAAATTCAAAACAATAATGAGGAATAAAAAAAAATCATCATTAGAAAATAGTCAATTTGTATTAACTTTGTTTCCTAGAAAATGATGAAAATGTGTGCAGTCTCCATTTTCATTACATTGGAAAATATATGACATTGTAGTACCAGTATATTATAAAAGATTAAATCAGAAAATTAACCAATCAGAATAAAATGAATGGTTCTTATACATAGGGCTTAAAACAAGAGTGCACATGCTGAAATGTCTAGTCTGCTTTACTTATCATGATTGAACTTATATTGATAATATGTAATATGAAGGTTTTACTACAAGTATAACAATTTTAACATTGTCAATGAACAATGATCCATGGACATGTACACCTAACACCTAACACACCAAATATAGTTTGCCAGTTGAAAATGATTATCTTAAAATCATTCCATACACCAAATATAGTTGACATATTGCTTATAGTATCAGAGAAATAGATCTAACCACAAAAACTTAAAGCGTCCGAGATACGAATTTACCTTGGTAAATGATCCATGGAATGAGGTTTTGGTCAGGTAGACCAATTTAATGTACTATTTGTGAGTCCGAGGCCCAGTTTACACATTAATAACCTCTACGGAAATGTGCTTAATGCTCTGTGTTGAAGGCTGTACCTTGACCTATAATGGTTTACTTTTATAAATTGGAAAGTTGTCTCATTGGCACTCATACCACATCTTCCTATATCTAATTAATCCTTATAATTCTCAACCCAAACATTTGTTATTGCTTTTCTATCAATATCATCTTTTTTCTAACCACATGATCAACAGTGTTTACACAGGTTACGAAAGTAGTTTCAAGCAACATGGTCTATTGAAGTGTAAACCAAGGAAAATATTCTAATGGACCAATCACATTCAAGTTTTTGCAGATATGCAAATCATATAACAAAGTACTTTATCATTCATGATAGACAGATCATATAAGATTACTATCCATCCAGACAGGACTAATGCCAGTATTCACATAGGCCCTGATAAGGAATTTAAGTTCGGTGTCAGAATATGTCGTTCACTTATTAACATCCTACCTACCTGACTACCTCTGCTTGGTTTTAATTTCTTCTCTGTTTCTGATACATGATCTTTCTCCTCGTAATACAGATGACTTTTAAACTTCACAAGAGGCTGAAAGTAAAAGAAAAGAAATTATACTTACTAAAAATTGAAGGGTGCTAACTGATTTGAGCTGAAAAGTATTTTGTGATACTTACTACTATAGACTGGTAATATCAAAATGCTATTTTCTTTATTACAATCAATTTTTCCCATTGAAATATATATATACCCTTACAACTTTTAACAGGAGGCTCCATGAAGACTGTAACAGTCACCTGATATCTAATAGACTATGCAATACAGAAGAATAATTTTGTAAGTTTTCAAAATACACATAGGGTGTTGGCATTTGAAATTAAGAAAATTTATTCTCGACTCCATTCATAAAAATTAATTGTGCTTTATATTGAAATTCCATCAAATAGTTGTAATTTCTTTAGTCAACTGAAACAGTATTCTTTTTTTTTCTGTAATTAATCATTTCACAAATGAATACTAATAAATAGTATAGAATGCACTAGTACGGTAGCAGAATACTGAACAAAAAACTGTAAATTTCATGAAATTTTCGAAATTCACACAACTGTCATGAGGTCAAACGAAGTTAAAGGGATACTTCGCAAAAAAATTAAAAATTGATATTATGTTGATTATGTATAAAAAAACCACAAATTCATAAATATTAAAGTTTAATTTTGCTAGATAAGAGATCACCATCGATTTTAAATTTAGAGTATCACTTCTCCGCGTGCGGCCATTTTGACATCATCCCTGAATAGAAACCATGATATATCTATAAACGACAAAGGACCAAAACAAGCAGTAACCTAACGTAGCCGTAATTGAGTGTCGATATCTTGTCAAGCGTATGGTTGTTTTACCCGACAAGGAAAGCCTATACAGTTTCCCGGGTCACAAAAAAAGATTATAATAGACATGGTTGTGCATGCAACCTTTCCTAACTAACTTGATACGGAAAATGTAATTATATATAATTTTTTTTGAATAACTAGTACTATGGTCTGTCGTTTTAAAACTTTTTTTTTTTACTAAGTTTTTGAAACAAGAAATTTTAATGGAAATTAGTTAAAAAGTTCAAAGTGATAAATTAAGTGTTCCGTGTAAAAATGTGTTCGAAAATCTAGTGTGTTCATAATTCATTTATGTAATAATCTTATTTAAATAAATTCGGACCTTCCCTTATCTGATCACCAGCATGGCTAAAGGAATTGTTCCCAGAGGTATTGTGAGTTGACACGTCCAGGTATTCAAGCGATTTCCTGTCGGGCTTTAAAAACTCTTATTACACAATTACATAAAGCAAGTTCGTGCATCACTTCACCTCTGAGGGTATCGAGAAGTGTACACGGCAGATAACTTGTAACTTTCCATTTTGAAACTATCAGGTGAATATACATCTTTGTCTTGCGTGTCCGATAGTGATATGCTAGTCTTTACTAAACCATAGATATAATAGCCATTATATACAAGACTAAACTCATACGCTTGTTTATAAATAACATTTATGGTGTAAAGAATATTTATGAAAATCTAAATAATTCCAAAAAAAGATTTGATAAAATAAAAATATATTTACATATTTTCCAAACGTAAATTGGGGAAAATTAAGTAATTACTCGTTGTCAATAATTATGGACATTTTGAAACGTACAAATATTGATTTAACGAAATGTACGCACTTGTCGATCATTGGATTATACACCAAGATAGAAGGTTACGGAACTATAGATAGTCGCAATTTAGAATATATACATGTATATTGAATATACGAGAGAAACATCCAAAACCAATCTAATTTAAATACAGGTCGATATCTAACTTGCTTTGGTTCATCGAGGTTATGCACATAGTAAAATCACAGATTTTTATTTCAATTAGATTATTTTGAACAGTTTAAGAAAGTCGTCATCATCTCAATGGTTGTGTATTATGTATAATAATGTAATAATGTGAACATGGTTCTATTATACCGGTAGTACCTCATGTCAATTTTCCTGTTCGGACTTGCATGTAATATATATGCCACTGGACGTACACTAATGATCCCCAAAAAGCTTATTTGAAGAAATAAAGAAACTTCACTCCGAATAGACTGATAGTAGATGTATTAACGTCTGGTCAGCTAGAGGGTTGATTAATTTATTTAGTTAGCTTATAAGGGAGGGGGGATAAACCATTCCTAATATTGCACTTATGCATAAAATATTAAATAAGAGTAATATAAGAGAAAATATAAATACCAAAAGTCGCATATCTGGTAAAAAAAAGTCTCACTGGCAACTAGAGAATTTCACATACGATTATCATTCTTAATCGAAATAACGGACAGTCATTAAAATACATGCATGTTCACTTTGATAAAAATTCGTAAGGGTTCCGCGGAACCCAGTGTCTCGCCTACTTTTACTGTTAATCGCAGGCTCAACAAAAATGAGGAAAAAAATTAATGAAAATATTCCTCTCTATACTATCTTTTGATTGTAAGTAGCTTCTGTCCAAGTTTGGTAAAAATCCAGGATAGTTTATGAATCTAATAATTGTTTTAAAAACTTAAAACTGCAGACTGTATGTAATGTTAACTGGAAGAAATACTTAGTCCATTTATAAGCAAAATAAGGAAAAAATGGAACAAAATTTTAACAAAATTTCCTTCTAGATACTAGCTTTTAATCATATACAAGCTTCTGTCCAAGTTTGGTACAAATCCAAGATAGTTTAAGAAAGTTGTTAAAATTTTAAAAACTTTAACCACAGAGTGAATGTAATGTTAACTGGCAGAAAAACTAAGTCCATTTATAAGTAAAATACGAAAAAAAAATGATTTTTTTTTTTTTTAAATTTACCTCTGCATACTATCTTATGATCATAAACAAGCTTCTTTCCAAGTTTGGTAGAAATTTAGGATAGTTTAAGAAAGTTATTAAAATTTTAAAAACTTTAACCACAGAGTGAATGTAATGTTTCCTGGCAGAAAAACTAAGTCCATTTATAAGTAAAATACGGAAAAAACGGAATTTTTTTTTTACAAAATTTACTTTTGGATATTATCTTATGATCATAAACAAGCTTCTGTCCAAGTTTGGTAGAAATCCAGGATGGTTTAAGAAAGTTATTAAAATTTCAAAAACTTTAACCACAGAGTGAATATTTGTGGACGCCGCCGACGTCGACGCCATAATGTAGGATCGCTATGTCTCGCTTTTTCGACAAAAGTCGAAGGCTTGACAAAAAGGGGTGCTGCAGTTGCATATTCACTGATTCATCATAAATCTATTTCAAGTATATACTTTCCTGTCATTCTTATAAGTTAACGCAGAGACATGTAATTATACATCTCTAGTTAACGACAATCAACCATATAAATATTTGAATCTGATGTGACTTACCGTTCATCTCTTTCTTTTTTCTTCTTTTTTTTTTTGATTTGGGCAGGTACACAAACATTGAAATGTTAGATATACTGTTCCCAGGTTGGGAGGGGTCGGTGGTTGGAGGTGAAGTATATCGAAAGTTACAAAATAAGAACGTTGTATTTATGAATTTACATGAAGAATTCTGATCTTGGGCGTAGGTTTCTTTTTTTTTAAGTTCAGTGATTTAAATTGAGAGAAAAAAATCTGGTCAGAATTTAAATCGTACCGGCAATTTCCACCTAAGACTCCTCTAAAATCATGAATGGTCATGCTTCACAATCATCAGAATTTTCTTTGCATTGGTACATTCTGTATCGGTAGTGATTTACCTCGACATTTCCGGGTATAACAGAGCTACTTGTATATTACATGTATGTGGTTAGGTGACGTCCCATGAGGTCTTACGTATACAGGTTTCTGATATAACAAGGTTTTATGACATTCACACTTCTGCATGTTCTGTATACCAAATTCTTATCTTATTTTCAGACCAAAAGAGGATGTGAATATTTTCCAGGAAAAATATTGAGTATCAAAGTATCAAATTAATTTCGGGATTTTTTTCTTTCTTGGTATTAAATCACAGAAACTTAAAGAATATACTGCTTGTCCGCTTTAGGTGTATTCTTGTCCGTTAAGACTGACATATATGTCTCTGGTATATAGTGGGTTTATGAATGAATGATAAGTCTTGCAAAGGTACAAGATATAAAACACATTGAAAATTGATTCCACCGGTCTGTGTCCATTCAAAAAAGGAAAGTTGACGTTAGATTGATTCTGTTATTTTTTTTGAACATCGTTGGTCAAATAGCTAAAGTATGTATACGTTGTGAGATTTTAAAAATTTTAATAAGGGCATTCCCGATTAGGTAAATGTAGATCGCTGTGGACGGACCAAGCTATATTAATCATGTAACCGCGATAATTTTCTCTAAACATTGAAATATTCAAGGTTAATACCCATGATAATTTGAAAAAGTAAGTACAGTGTTTGGTTTATACGCTCGTTTTCGTGGGCCATTTTTATTTATAAAATTATTTAATTGAAAGTAATTAAGAATTTCGATGTTACAACAAAATATTCACCTATCTATTTTAAAATTAAGCTTACGCAAAATATAAAAGATTTACATGTATATAACGGCGATTCAGGTATTTTGCCACCATATTCCTCCCCAAATAATTGATGTTTTTATCATTCATACGAAATGTTGTTCACACCTGTAACGGTGAACCGTGTTGGCTAAAATTCACTGAGTGAAGATCAAAAGAATAGAATTACAGAATGCTAATCTTTTAATTACCTTGAATTTAACCACGCATTCAACAGGTAGTCACTAAGTGTCACAGTACAATACACATTGTATTTACACAGTACTAGTGGGAAATGTTTGCTAGACTGAAGTAAAAGCCTTCAGGTGAGAATACAAACATGCATTTGTAAAACAATATCAGTTATATATGTTTGTTCAAAATGTCCGTCGGAAAAAAAATTCATAAAAATATATTCTATTGTATGATTTACTTTCATTATTATAATCATATCAGAAATCCTTTAAATATAAATCGTACATTTTAATTTTGAAAGTTGCACGGCTGATCACTTTACATTCTTAATTATTAGTTGGTTAATAGCTACGCCAAAAGTCGTCGAAGTTTTAAATCGCGTTATTAGATGATTAACGAACAAGACTTACAATGAGATTAATTCACTCCCGGCAAAAAGACTTAAACTACGTCACATAAGTCAGGAAGTTGGAATAAATTAAATTATTAATTCCCAATTTTCTTCTTTATTAGTGTTCATATCCAGATAAAACTTGGTAAATATGTTTTTTATGGTATTATGAACATAATAAGATGAAAAGTAAAAAATCGCAAATTTTCCCTTTAATCATAACATAACTAACTTATGATATGCAACTACTCATTATACAAAAATATACTAAAAATCATCTTTTATGGAGAAAAATGTTATTTTTATGAAATTTTCTAAGGTCATGGCCATAATTAGGTAAAAAGACAGTCTACAAACAGAAAATACACATATGATATGTGACTATTAATTATACAATAATATACTTCATATCAAAACAATATACTTTAGGATGGCTGAAACAATCATTTTCATGAAATTGATTAAATTGGCCACAATAAGATCAAAAGTAGGTCAAATGAAACAAAACTTACTTAATGTATGGATATATAAAACTATGTAACATTACATCACACAATCATATACAAATATGAGCTAATTATATTCATGGAGGACTGACATGATATCATTTTCATTAAATTCCAAATGATGTATTTAGGTCAACAGTAGGTCGTCCAATCAATATCTACAAATAATTACACTGCATCTGTCTTATACTAGCAGCTAGTGGAAATTGTCTACTAGTTGGTCAGTTTTGAAGAAATTTGTATTAACTTTAAAAATTGTTTAGGTCAATTTCATTCTCACTGGGCCAAGCTGTTATGACTGTTGGGAGCTATCAAGAATGGAATAACATGATTGAATGATTATTGATAAAGTGTAAAAATAAACACATCTACAATGTTATGGTCTGAATTATTCATAAACCATATGGGAATCAATCCATGTTACCTGTAGCTCAGGTATGTTTTTACCTGTCATCAAAATCATGTGAAATGCTATAACCAAACTATTAACAAGTTATTGCATAGCTGTAAATACTTCAAAAAGAACTTTCTCAATGAGATTTTAACTTTAAAAGATAGTATTTAAATGCAGTTTTAAATTGTTGGATTTTATGATTTACTTGTTAAAAGAACACTTTAGTTTACACAATAGATTTAGTTCTTGATACAAACCAACGTCATTATGTACATTTATTCAATTCAAAATAATTTTTGTACAAAATATCATTCAAAATACCACCGTTAAAGGAGAAAATATTAGCCTCTATCATTTCTGAGTGAAGAAAATATGTCAATTCTTTGTGTTATCAATGTCAAAACTAATGCATATTTTATAACTCAGTAAGAAGTAAAAACAAATATTGTTTATCTTAAGATTGTATTATAGGGGTATGTGGAATGTGACTCAGGGAAATATTTCTACCACTTTTCTACATGGCACAGATGACTAATCGAGAGACATTATAATTTTACTTGGTGCAGTATTGATCTTTCAACAATCAAATCTTTCATGTCACAAAGGATTCAATTACATCTCTCTCCAATGTTTATGTCTCAAATTCATATTTCTGGATTTTTTTATTTCCTGGATATTTGCTGATTAAAGGGAATTCCCAACTAAACTTCAGGTTAGAAATTTTTATTTAAATGCATCAATTGACTCTTTATTGATCAAGTGTTTTCTTTTTTTATAATAGTGAGATTCCCATGACCTGGTAATTACAATAGACTGTGTTTTATTTGATGATCTTCTTAGTATAGAGTGATGGAGATCAGCTGGTCAGATTATAACACAAGGAATGTAAACTAAGTACTTATGTATACACACTAGGATTACTAATTACCTTGTTGTTCCTTTCAAACTTTTATAATTGATCTATGTACAAAGAGTACCTGCAGGGTGATTGCACTTGTACACACATACACAAGGATGTTTAACACTATGATAGAAATTGTGTATAACAGTTCACAATGAATTTGCACCTCTGGATTTATTTATTTCCTGCTCAATAGAAAATGAAGTTGTATTCATTTTTAGGACGTCTTTATTTTTTAATATTTATTTATATATCATCGACGACATGGTCATTTCCATATGAAAAGAGATCATATTCCCATGTGGATATCAAATTCAACAAAAGAAAGCACATCAAAGAAGACATAAATATACATAATAAGTTAAAACTGCAATTTAATATCAAGGATCCTGCCAGCAATGTTATATTTAAACCAACAGATGTACATTATGTACTACAGCCTCAGGAAGTAAAGTACATTACAACCGGTACACACAAATATTCAGGAAATGTTAGAGAATATAAAAATAGTGATAGTGAAGATGTGAGTCTTGCCGAAGCATTGACTCAGGAATCAGAGGGTAATAAGTCATCATTTAGTATGGTTCTACCTATAGCAGGGACTTTAACTGTCTTATTTAGTATGTCAATATTAGTTGCTATATTCCAATGTTGTTGTCGTAAAAAAAGACAAACTTCACAATCAGAAGAAGTGAAGACTAGAAATGATAAACAAGTGGATTCTGGAAAAGATTCCGGAGATGAACTTCTAAAAGATGAGGAGAAAATTCATACTGAAAATCAGGGGTAGGTTGTCTGGAAATAACATGTAACACGCTTAATCTAACCAGGGCTTGTCTTCCAATCTGGTTTATCTATTTACCAGCATATCTTGTTTGCATCATTGTCAAATATTTAGAGAATGTTTTATGCAATTGATTTCTATCTGTAATGTATTTCACAAATTCCTTAAATTGTTTAGAAATTTGAAGGAAGGGGGGAGTTTATACTCTTTGTATCTTTGAAAGTGGAAAAAAACATACCGGTACATGAAAGAGAGACAGACCTCTCTAAATCTACCTCTATTAGAGTGTATAAGAATAGGGTTTCATTAAACTGTCTTTCAGTAAACTGTCATTTCCTTTATTCAAAATGTGTAGGTGTTGTTATATCATATGATTAAATTTATCAAAGAAAGAGATTTCACCAAAAATGTATGCATATCTGTGTCTTAACCTAAGTGGTTGGTACAATTTATAAATATGTGAAGTAGAAGAGGAAGTTTATACATGTACCTAACACATAACAATGACCTCACACACATTTATCATACATAATAGTCTTCATTGTTTTAGACATACATGTTTATGCTTGGGCAATGACAGCATTTTTTCTTGTTTGGCTAAAAATATCTACCTGTAACTATTGAGTCATGTACATACTGAAAATCTCCAAAGCATTACTTCTCAAAATAGGCTGGTGACTACTAAGAAAACGAAAACCTTATTGAAAATTAAAGTTGCTTGTTATTACTGATACAGGAAATCATTCAAATAGATTTAATCTTTATCTTAGATATCAACCTTTTGCTTGTAAATAATGATACAGGAAATCATTCCACTAGATTTTTAGAACTTTATCCTTGATATCAAAAGATGGATACATAACAGTAAAAACAAAAACTTTCCTGAAATGACAGTACTTAGTAGGATTTTAAGGTTTTAAATTGATGTGTGGACATGCTTCATCAGGACAATTTTCTACACATTTGTGAGCTTAAGTAGCTCTGTAGGTATTCATTACCTGGTGTAAAACTACAGTCAAACCTGATAAAGATCACCTCTATATAGTGTAACCTGTCTTGTCAGGTCACCTTTTTCTCTTCCCACTGTAGTTATACTTATGTATTTTGAATCTCAAAGGTCAGTTCAAAGTTCACCCTTCTTTTAAAGTCAATTTTCTCTGGTCCTGAGGATGACCTTTATATACAGGTTTGACTGTATTTCCAGTTCTAGATTAGTGGCTAGTACAAATACCAAGCATTGGTTCATTAAAACAATAGTAACAAGGTAAAGTTCACCCTGTTTTTGAGCCCCTTACTATACAACTTGTTCTCAACATGAACTTTAAAACTGGTGATGTAGTAACTGACCATTGATAAGAAGTAATTTTACCATCTGGATTTTACATGGATTTTACATGTGTAGATGTTGATTGCTATAATCACATTAGTAAGGTGTCAGAAGGTAAATAGGATAATAGCCACAAGATATGCCAAAAAGTGGTTACAGCATTTAGTGATTGGTTATGCTCTCTCTAAAAGAGAGACGAAAGATACCAAAGGGATATTCAGACTCACAAGTCCAAAACAAACTGACAATGCCATGGCTAAAAACGACAAAAGGATAAACAACAGTACACTTAACACAACACAGAAACAATAGTACACAAAACACAATACAGAAAACTAGAGATCGAGCAACACAAACCCACCGAAAACCAGAGAAGGATTAGTAAGTAACTAGATATAACATTCCAAGAATAGGTTGAGGACTTTGTGCACAGTCAATCTGTAACTCATAAGTTCAGCTTATACAAACTGTAGTAATTCTAAATGCCTTGCTTATTTCTATTGGGTATTTTTAACACAGCAAGTAAATCATGAATAACTAGTATAAATTTAAAAAAATGAAAATCCACACCTCACTGTATAAAATTCTAATGCAAGAAAATTGATTGATTTTTAATAGTCAGGATATAAATAAGATAAGTCAAAGTCCTTTGTTTTGCTATCAAATAATAAATTTAATACAAGTACATTTTTTTTATTAACCATATATTTGCTGGTTAATTACATCCTCTTAAAGCTTAACTGTATAAAATTTTCACATGCTCTTATATCTCAACTTTTGTCCTCTTATTATCAAAATATTATTTAGTATGCATGTAAGATATTCTTAAAACAACTGTTTTATATTTCATTCCTTTGAAGTTATGTAACACCATAGTATATAAAAGTTGAAAACATAATGTACAATATATATTTGACAGATCAGAAAAGGAAGAAAAGGAAATAACATCAATAAGATCAAAGATCAAAGCGTTTGAAGGAGTAATACCAACCCAACCATCCCCTGGCCCAATAAGACATGTGAAGAAACGACCAGAAAGTAATGCTTTCAAAGCTTTGGAGAACCAGGGAATTGTATATGGCATGGTAGGCACAACCCTAATTATAGACCCATCTCCTTCATGTGAAGTTTTCAGAATATAATAATCTTGGCCTTATGGTTGCATATAATTGCTTTGAACTTTGGTGGATAGTTGTCTCATTGGCAACCTTAATTTTATATTTGCAATATTTATGAAATTGTAGAAATAGTCCAAATAGTCCTCTCACATTCACATTTAGTCTTCAGAATATACTAACCTAGGCATGTGTATGAAATGGTGGGTATGTTCCAGACCATGTGAGTATTTGGACCATATGCGTATGGTCATGACCATATGGGTATATACTCATATGGTCAGACCATACGCGTATGGTCCGGGTAATTAATACGATGAATGTTGAAAAGTTAATTTTACTGTGTATTGCATAAGTATGACCCTTCCAGGCGTCACAAATCAAGAGTTTTTTAAAATGAAATTTTGAATCATCTATCCATATGTTAATTTATTGTTACATATAACGTTAGGGTACCCAAATTGCATCTATTTTGACAGAATTATTTTCATCTACGTTTATTTATGATCCAGACAAAAGTTTCCATTCTGTGTTTATTTTGTAGATGTATCCTTATTTACTATATAGTTCCACCAATTTGATTTTGAATCCAAATTGAATCATAGAAAAATGGGTTTGAACTGACCTCCAAATGACCAATGATTCTGTAATTGAAGAGTACCCAAATTGCATCCATACTTAAATTCACAACCGTAAAAATGTAATAACTGATGTTTTGTTTTATTTCTCCAATTATTTAGAACAATTTGACAAAAGCCCATGCTTATCATTCATTTTTGGATGTATGTAACATATTTTAATTGCTTATTTTTTAAAAGTTGACTTTTTGTGGACGTCGCATGGCTACATTTCCGTAGATTTACTTTTTCCAGTGATGACTTCATCTGTAGGTATATCCTGTGATGTTTTGTGCATATTTAAAATTTTTTAGCAATGTTGGAAGACTTGCATAACATCAAATCATTAAAATACAAATTGTTTACTCTCTAAGAAAACTTGTGTAAGATTTCCGCTGCTATTTTTGCTAAGTGGGTGCAATTTGGGTACTCTGACATTACATGATTAATGAAATAGAGTAAATTTTACTCCATGTTAAAATTATAGTAAAAGTACTCTACCAAACATTTACTCTATGAAACATAATATGTCAACTTTGAAATATAAAATGTATATAACTTCAAGAAATATCTAATGAACCGTTAAACAATAAGTGAACTGTGTTACAGACAGGCACATGGGGCATTGAACCTTCTTTTTTAATTATTATTTTAGTGTATAAATTTGTTTTTAGTTAATTCAAATTTCTTAAATATTTCAAATTATTTTAGTGATTTAGTGTGTTTTTGCTCCTATTAATACGATCTTACAATAACAGTAGCTGATACTGGTTGTCCCTCTATTCTTATTTGGAAAATAAGATTAGAGAGGCAGCATGTATTTCTTACTGTAACTATAAGATCCTATAAATAGGAACAAAAACACAACATTTAAGTGAAAATGAGCTGAAATTAGAAGAAATAAAAAAAAAAGCCTGAGGTTTCACTTACGGACGAGAAGGTAGATATGATACAGGTGCTTTAAATTGACTCTTTTAGAGAAGGCAGAAAAACAGATACACTAAAATACAGACAATATGTCAAAATTAAGGATTTCTGTTAGTAATTTGTGCCAATTTTGATTTGGAGAACGAGCTGTGTGCTCCTGCAGAGGAAGTTAGAATTTATTTGAAAAATACCTACATGGTCTCAATACTCATATGGTCCGCCCATTAATGACTAAAAGAGAATATACTGATATGGTCATGACCATACACGTATGGTCCAAATACTCATACGGTCCGGAACAGGTATAACCCACATTATTATAGTCCAATTTATAACAAATCAAGTCTATGGAATATGATAATCAAGGCATTATGTATGCCACATGTGTTATAGGACAAGGTGATTAAACAACACCGTAAAAATTAAAATTTAAGTTAATCACACCATTGAGTGTATTTAATAAGAAATTCAAAGAAAAGTCAATAAAATTTGCCAGTTTTTTTAAATTGCAATGAGTTACGTAATTTATAAATATAAATCCATAATTGTAAACAACACATGTAAGCATATGCTTATAAAAGAAATTCATTTTTTTTCAAAATCAAAAGAATTTACAAACAGCTATGACCTTCAGTCACAATGACATAACAAACTGACAGCTGCTTAGTCTGATTTATCAATGATGCCCACTCTCTTCAAAGATGATCTACTATTTACATACGACAGCTTATACATATAAACATCCAATCTAAATAATCCTACAGATAATAAAACATAAAACACATTAGATACCTAAGGATCAAAGTACTGATGATGATAGCAGACTAAAAGGGAAAATTCTTGGCAATCTACATTGGGTGTGTGTTTACATCTGTTTATATTATTATTGCTATGGAAACTTTATCAACATATTTGTATTTTTGTTTACTTAAATAAAAGAATCTATATTAATGTTAATATTGCAGGATCTGCAAATCTTCCAGATTGACAATGCCACAAATTTTGACCTAATTAGAAAATGTTGTGCATAGCCAATAAATTTTTTAAGTTTATTGAATTATGTGTAACATTTTGTAGCAGGTCACATTTCTTTTGACATCGGAAGATTTTTCCTGAATGCACAATTATTGACACTGAGTACCACAGGAATAGCCCCTCGTCTTACTGAAAAGTATGATCAGTGATCACCAGTCCTCAATCATTCTGGCAGATTGGCACAGCATCAAATTGTTCCCAATATATAACCTGTGTGGTTCATCTGATTCAAAATAATGACAATTAGGATATAATTATAGATTTCTCCTAACATGTCATATCACTAAACCCTTCCAGCTGATCTATCATAAGTTGTTACAAATCACTAATTTCCTAAGAGCATGAAGGGTGTGATCTACAGATATAAACAAATATAAAATTCAAGATTTGTTTCCAATATTTATTTATAAAACTTCATCTCATCAAATCAAAACATAAAGCAGAGAAATTAACTAAAATAGAATCAGAGGTCAACATCCTGATAGTGAACTCTGAACAACACTGTTGAAGAAAACATTGTTCAGAGTTCACTTACCGTACTTAAAGAAATATTTTAAGTATTACAAAGACTGTAGCAACAATATTATGAAATAGACAACTGTTTGATTTCAAAATTTATGCACAAGTTACTACGTCACTTGAGGTATTTAAAAACATATACATGTACAACTAAATAAAACATACACTAGTTAAATCTATTACATAATTTAGAAAATATGGTGGTATTAATTTATTAAAAGATTTCTACCATCACACTTATTTAGAAAGATCAGGGGCAATTAAAAGGAGTCTTTTATATATTTTCATGCCTAAAATATGTTACTGAAACAACGAAGTCAAGTAAACATTAAATATATAAAGTTTGTTTTTATATTTTAAAGGGTAAAAGTCCTTCTAGGCTTTCAAAGACACCAGAGGATGAGAATCAAAATGCAACTGTCTCAAAGGAAATTACCAGGGCAGAAAGGGAGACAACTCCTGATGATGATTTAGGGTAATTACAAGAATAATACAGGCTCTAACTTACAATATATATCTAAGACATTTAAAATCTGTGTATCAGGACAACTCTGAGAAGTCCCTGTGAGGTTTGTAATATCACCCTTGCATATAACTGCATTACATGCTTTCACTGAATGAAGAGAATAAAGTTTCTTCAAATACTGTATTTCTAGGATACAGGTAGTTACTTTAAATTCAGAAATTATTATGTGCATTTATCATTCCGATTTTTGAAGAATGAAAAAGATGGCAGATTAATTATTGCAATTTAAGGAAAATCTGCAAAAAGATATATGTATCAGATATATAAATGCAAGTTCTTATTATTGCAATACTCACCCTGTTGCATTACTTGCCAAATTATAAACCTCGCAACAAATTCTGAATTTACAGTACTTTTTTTCCCCTTCAAAACAATTGATTAGTACAGTAAATGAAATTTAACTGACTACCACTGAACATTTTTAAAGTCTTCAAATGTATCATTTGCCCAGTATTTTAATAGTGCTTTGGCACTGGCTAATTTTCAATTTCTTACATTTTGATAAATCCTCAGTTGATATAAATTTTGAAAATTTTATAAATTAGTCAAAGCTGACCTTCCTTGTTTTTGTCTATTCTAAGTCATTTTTATATTGTATCATTCCCTCTGTATTTATACATTATTTTTTTGGCTCCTTTAACTTTGGTTCTGAGCATACCTGATAAAAATATTTTCCACAAAAGTGATCTGACTGCAACCAATTCAGTATTAACTTTGTACATGTATTTTTTCATCTAAAGTTAGAGCAATTGGTTTTGATAAAATAAGACATTTCTAATTAAAAAATAAGTTAAGACCTGTTGTCACTATTAAAGTTTTCTTGTACAAGTTGTTTTAGTCAAAGTTTTTGATGAATTTGTTTATAGTGACAACCTTCAAATAAAACTTTGACAGACTTAGATGGAAAAGAATCTTATTCTATTTTTCTTGAAACTTGGATGGACTTGGAAGGGAATTAACCAATCACAGTGCAGTTTTTTCTTTGACTAAGTTTTTGATGAAAAACTTTGATAGTGGCAACCGATGACTTACACCAAGTTAAGCCAAGTTTTTGATATAAAACTTTGATAGTGACAACAGATGACTTGGACCAAGTTTACCTGGTCAAAGAAATCTTTAACCAAGTTAACTTTGATAGTAAAACTGAGCTTAAAGGTAATTGCTTTTCTTTAAATCCTTTGACAAACTATCTGAAATAAAGGAGTTGATTGAGACCTGTCTCTTTTTACTTACAGGGGATACAAACAGCCAGAGAACCCAGATGTAGTTATTGCTGATGTAGATGAGAATGATGAGTTTGGTGTCATAGTCCGAGACACTTCAGTATTAAGATCTGTATGTACTATTTCTGAGATGTTATTTCATTTGTTATAAATTTGGGATTCAGATAAGAAATACATTTATAACTTTCATTTAGGGAAAAATAGTTAATCCATTTTGCAAACACACAATTTTCTATATGATGCATACAACATTGCTATTCTTGTAACAACAAATGATTCCAGCTGGATATGGACATATTATTTTTTTGGTCTTACATAGACCTTAAAAGATTTTCATACATATGCTTCCAATTTTTGTCACCCAGACTTCAAATACATCTTTAGCAACAAATAGTTTAACATTCCTTAAAGGACCACTCCTTTCGAGATAAGACGTCATTGTTCTATTATAATTCTTCAAAAGGTCATGTAAAACTTCATGCTAAATAAGTTAACATCTATTTAAACATTTTACAATATCCCTATGCATTTGAAAATGAATAAATCTTCCCTCCAAATAGCACAAAAGAGCTCCACCTCCAAAGAACAGAAACAGATCATCAGCTGCTGTAAGAAGAAAACGAGCAAGAGAGACAAATCCAGATATTGTATGTATATTTTTCACAACTACAGGGATGCTTAATCATGAGTGAAAAATTCACATACACTGGCTTTATAATATATAACTATGTATCTGTGCAAAAAATTACTTCATTATAAGGATTTTTTTTTTCAAAATAAATGAAGGAAAAATCTGTTGAAAAGTAACTACATGCATTTATAATGAATAGCTGATGGGATTGGGCCATTGGTTTTCACAGTTTTTATATATCACGTCAAGATTAATTCAATAAAAGGATATGTTTTATAATTGTTTTACCCAGTTTGTGTCAAGTTCTCATTTACAAACTGCACAATGAAAATACAAAAGTTTTTTTTCGTGAAAACAGATTTGGCAAGTTACTCAAATAATAGTAACTTAAAAATTCCAAACAATCTGATGAGATTTTTTTTTAAATTTTAAAAACAAAAAATTGTCTTCATTGCATAGAGTCTTTCAAGGTTCGCTTTTAGGACCTTTCCCAGTTTTTTTTTATATAAATGATGAGACTCTTGAATTATTTTTTCACATTGCCAACTTAATGATAGAACTTGCTTACTTGCAGATGAGTTTGGTACTGTATCTATCATAAGTATTGACAAAGACAATATATTAAAAAAAAATATATTTTAGATATTCATTTCATAAAACATATATATATATATATATTCCAGATATACAAACATGTATTTGAAAATAGATGCATATTCTATATGTACAAATATACATTTGAGAATAGATATATAGTCCAGATGAACAAATTTTTGCTAACAACTTCTTATTTTTATAAAGATGCATTTGAAAATAGATAGTTTTTTGGTGTTTTAAAGAATTCAATTTCTACTATACAAATTTGATTCAACTGATATATTTAAAAACTGTGTGGAAATCAAAAATTACATCAGAACTAAAGATATCAATAAGATTGTATTTAAAAGCATATCACGAGAAAGAATAGTCACAGAAACATTTAGAAAATAGAAACTAGGGATTTAATTGACAAGTTTCTATCTAGTTTTATGTAAAAGATCAAAACTTGACCTCTTTTTTCAAACTGAAATTTAAACTGCTGATTCAACATAATAACTACAACAAAGTTATTCATGTATTCCTTAGTTTTACATGTATGAATTTATTGTTAAATGCATTTGACAGTATACCTAATTATATGCATGTACATGTACATTTGATCTTTTTATATGTTTATTCCTTTTTTATTACTATGTATTTCATTTCAGACGTCTGACAAAGACATTACATCAATATAAAATTATAAAGATTTTTATACATTAATCAAATTTTTACCTACATGATAGTTCATTTAAAAAAACATTGAGAAAACAAACTAGAAACAATTTTTGCCAGATTTTTTTTTATGAAAACATTTCAAAGCTAACAATTACTCCACCTAACGAAAGGAACTGCTAACACATATTTCAAAATGGACAACTCAACTTTGTACCACAATTTTCATATATAAGGCATATACAGGGTGTGAGCTAGTTCATTTTGATTTATAAAAAGATTAGTGGTAAACATCAATATGACTGAAACACCACAACAAAAGTTTTAACAACTATGGACTTCATTCAACAGGCCATTAACAATTGACAAGTATAAATAAAGCATAGCAAGCCCCAAAATATTTTGATTTCAGACAATTTATAAATAAATTAAATATATTACTTCTTTTACAGCTTTTTAATGACAGTTCAAATAACTCATCTTTAGCTGTGCCAGATGACCTTGAACTTGTATATTCAGACAAAGTTAGTGTTAAAAGTGATACAAGTGATTCAAAAGACAGAAAAAAAGAGAAAACTGATTCTTCAGAAAGGAATAAAAATAAAACAGAAAAACAGTCTGAATCTGCTGAAAAAAGTAAACACAAAAAAGATAAAATTCCTAAGGACAAGGACTTAACTGAGAAAAAACGGGAAGAAACTCCAACTATAGTGACTTCTGATCATAGTGATGGAAATATAATAGATATATCTAAACAAGAGGTACCACCGGAAGTGTTCTCTGGAGGAAATATATTTATGCACATTGATCCAACTGTGAAGAAAAATGCTGTAAAACAAGAAAAGAAACCAGCAACACCACCTCCTGCCCCACGAGTACGGACCAGTCAACTTAGTAAGTTGGATGTCTTAATATTCCTATGCTAAAGTAATGGCGATCAATATAAACCAGAATGGGTTGGGTATTTTCTTAAATATTTGCATAGTTTCTTCTTTTTCTTGTCAAATTTGGGATCAGTAAAGTAATTTATTAAAACAAAATAGTCCCCTTAAGATGATAGTGACTGATTTATATTGATACTACATGTACATGTATAACTACAAGGTAAATGAATACATTTTCAAGTAGCACCATCTTAAATAATATCCCATTTGACATGTTTGATATTACTTTGATTGAAAGTTGAATTAGAAGGAGATGATGACCAAGATATAAAAATGTGGAAACTATCAACTAAGAAATACTGTTCACTAACTCCACCCTCAAAGTTGTACCATATCCAAATGTTCAAGTGTAATGTCTATTTTTAGGTGTAGAAGAAAGGAAAGAAAAAGCCAAGTCTACACCATTATTAACTAGTCATGAAGATCTTGCAAAAGGTACACTCAGTTTAATTTTGTGTTTCCAGTTAAGAATCTGTATGTTAGTTAGATTTGGACTTATCACTACCATATGAGAACACAATATTTTAAAGAGTTTATCACTACCATATGAGAACACAATATTTTAAAGAGTTTATTACTTCCATATGAGAACACAATATTTTAAGGATAAATAAAGTCTAACAGTTTACAGCTTCTTATTTGAGATAAAAAAAAGAAAAAAAAGAAAGGAAAAGTATTTAGAGAAAAACAAAATAATAAAAAGCAATAATTGGAATTTTTAAATAATATAGCACATTTTAAGATCAGACTATATCATGTATATTTGTCAAAACATTTGTAATTAACAGTAAAGATATGACTACATGTACATGTATAATTCTTAACAGTTTTATGTCATAACCAGCAATAACAAAAAGGACATGTTAATCGTGCAATGTGAAATTACAGATTTAGGTATCAAATTCAAGAGCAAAAAGACAACCTTCATAAAGGTTGACTTTCAACAATGACCTTTTCAAGCAATTCACTTATATATCATGTATATCAAATTACATTTAAATGAAACATTTCAGGTGGAAGCAATTAAATTATTATTTAAATGATTTTCAAACAAAAAAAGAAATATACAGGAAATTCATATAATAAGCATGATAAACTTATCATAGATACCAGGATTAAAATTTGTACGCCAGACACATGTTTTGTTTACAAAAGACTCATCAATGATGCTCAAATAAAAAACTTGAAGAAAAAAAAAAGATTTGCATAATACATCTTAGGTAATCTATTCATGAATAGGTAGAAAATACCCCCTAAGTTGGCCTCTCATAAGTTTAATCTGATATAAACTTCTTTTCCAGCTCTTGGTAAACTAAAGTCTCCCAGCAAAGAGGTGAATACTTTATTATTTTTACAACAAAGTTTATTAATATTATCTTCATTAAAATGTTGGTGCTTAAGTAAATTTTGCTGAACATTGATTAGCTTTTGATTCATTATAAAATCTGAAATGCTCTCTATTTCAAATATTTCAATAAATGTTTACATGGTTTAGTCAAAGTTAACAGGTAAGGCTAGTTGTGCCATAACTCCATTGATAATATTAAATCCAACAAAAAATCACTTACTGATAAGCATTTGTAAATTTTTGTATGCAATATTTTCATTAACTTTTTTTTATATATATTTCAGAATAACAGTGCTAAGACTGCAGGAAAGAATCGTTCATCCACAGATCTCTCATCTAACACTAAAATGTGATAATTGTTATTGTAAACATTGTGTGAAAACTTTACCATGGAACTCTTTATTTATAGTAGTGGTATTCCACTTTAATAGACTTAATGATTTAACACTTGCTAAAAACTTTTTTAATTGTATGTCATATGATAGTATTACCATAAATAATTTTACTTTAGCTTATTTCCAAAATATTTTAATCAACAATTTGATTTTTAATCAAACCATTAGTTTTGATTCCATATTTATTCTTGAAACTTATGGCAATAATGTGGTGCTTATTATGAATTTAATGAATTCTACACTCTGGTGTAAAATTCTGAAAGGAAAAATACTTTTTTTAATGTACTTCTTGTCAGTCAAAGTTCTTTTCATGAGTCAAAATATATTTGAATACATGTACATGTACTATTATTGTTCTGAATACATAAGGCAATGAACTATTAAATTCTTAAACAAGACATTTGTAGTGCTACAAGTTTGTCAAAGTGGCAATCAGTTGTGCAACACTGAGACATCGTATTGTTTTCAAACACAAGACTTATTTTCCTGAAACTGATCAAATCAGTCTGGAAAGATTTGAGATTTTTTAAACACAGTTCTTTGGATAAATCATGCCAATAACTGCTTGAAAAGAATTATAGAAAGTATAGAAATGCTAATTGACAAACAATCTATGTCTCCTAAGTTCCCTTAGAACAGTTCAATTTACTTTAAGCGGTAACTCTACAAATTTAGAGATACCAAAAGTATCAATCTGATCAAAAAGTAAAAAAGAGGTTAATAACTACTACTATCTACTAAAATAATGTAATAAGGGAATACAACTACACTTACTTTTCTCTCATCATTCCTATATATATTGTATGAGGTTTTGTATCAACAAACTTAGCTACACACAAAAACAATATGCAAGTCAAACAATGGTTATCTCCCTTTTACTATTACACAATATTGCTTTAGTTATCTCCCTTCAGACAGTGTCAATTAATTGTGTTTGTTTGTTTTTACAAATTCAGCACAATTTAATAACAAGTGTTATTAGCTCCTGCATATTAAATGTGTTATAATTTCTTCCATTCCATCAATAGTGCCAATATCACATCTATAGCAATTTCAATAAGCTATATATATATATATAACATTGCACAGTTCTTTAATACATGCATTCTGTGCTTTACATGTGAAAAATATATTGAATAATCATGTTTTACTGATCAATTTACTATAAAGTATTAGTTTTTGTGTTTTATTTAAATGACACATTCTTTGTCTCTTCACTGTAGATCAGGTTTTTATGTTTACAATAGAGCATCAACATCATATATTTTGAGTTTCACTGAGAAGTTTTTATTTTTATTTTTTAAAGGATTTATTAGAAGGGAATTATAACCAATCAAGATAAACCATACTGTAATATTTTGTTGACAACTTTCGTCACAAGTAATATACTTAACATGACTTATCTCTGAAAACCACTATATCAGTTTTTTAATATTTTTTTTATGTTATTTATAAAAAATATATATATTTCGCCCTCTCTTTCCATTTAGGTATGTCTTTATATCAGACATTTCAAGGAATACACTGTATTGATACAATTTATTCTGGCAGACATTCAAAAATTTATGAAAACTAATGAAAATAAACTAATAACATATTTTTAAAAAATCAATTATTCTACAATAATAATTTTTTTTAATAACTAGTCTATTATAATCATGTGTGTCAAGCAATATTCATTAACCCACTGATTTGTTTTTATTAATTTTTATTTTAATTTGAATTCAACTGTTGTCAGTTAAAGATAGTATTAGCTAGATAAACATCATTAATTTTCATACACTATTTATCCATCAGCTACAATTGTTGGTTCCTTTATACAGGAGATAATCTTAATACTTGTTGGAGAAAGTACCACATGTTATGTCTAAGTATTGATGAGGTCCATCATAAGTCTTTCTTTCCTACTTTTGACCAATCAGCATCAAATGATTTGTTTGAACATTTTAAGTTCAATTATAAATATTTGCAATTTTCAGACATGTAGGCAATGATGGAAAATTTGTCATTGGTAACCTTTAAATTTTTTTATTTAGCATGACAAAATATGGTCAAACAAAAATTTTCATGAAAACTTTATATAAGTCCTGTTGTATATGAGATTAGTGTTTACAAGGTTTTGTGGGCTCTCATCAAATCATTACTGGACTACACATGTAGTATTTTCTAGTGGCTCAAATCCAACAGTACTTACATCAGAACACAACTTGCCGTCCTGTATGCAGCTTTTTGTCAGAGATAAGTTCTTCCACTGTTTACTCACATTTTTATATTGTTAAGAGGTATTTTTGTATCTTGTTAAATAAACAAAGTGCTTAGAGTCTAAAATTTGTTTTTGTTTTCTATTTCTGCCTTTCTGCTAAAATTTTTTTAATAATAAGTTGTGCACATGAAACTGTTGAAAGACTTTATATTATATACCATGTACATCCATATCCAAGAGAAGGAAGGCAGATTAATCCTGTACACTATATACAGACAGTTAGAAAGACAAATAGATGAAAGGACAGTCAGACACACAGTGGTATTCTAATAAACCATGAGTCGACGTCACTTTCTTCAATGAGCATAAAAACTTTTCTACAATATTAAGACTGAAGTACTATGAATTCTTTATTTTTGTGTGATACCAATTTATGTGGATTTTGTGGGTATCAGTGAACTACAAATTTAAATGTTCATTTATGTACACATTTTCTATAGGCTAATATGCAAACTTTGGCAACACCACAAAATCAAATATTCACAAAAACACAATTGTTCCTCCACTATGAAAATTGGTATCTACAAAAATAAATGAATCAACAGCATATGCTAAACAGCTCATCACACAAAGTTAAATATTAAAAAATGAAAGCTTTGGACTTTTGCGTATCAATTTCTAAATAAACTCAAGGGATACTGTATTAAAACTTCGCAGCACTTTTATGCATCAAAAGACTTTTGTGAGTAGAGGAAAAGAGTACTTACTCTGTCTTTGAATGTATCAGGTATTAATTTCTTTACTGCATGTGGTTCTGGCAGATGAATCATAAATCCAAGGACATCACCCTCGGCATATCCTTGTTCTGCATAATGTTTCCCTCGACTCTGATGGAATCGTGTACCTTTTCTTGATCTCCACGAAAAACTGAATTTGTCATAACCACATGGAGCTTGCAAGTTACCTAAAAATAATTTTCATATCAAATAATTCTGGCTATAACATAAATTGTTGACACAAGGATATGTCTCAACTTTTTTGTTTATTTGATAATATAAAGCAAGCGTTGAAATTAAAATGGCAATACTTTAACATGTAAAATATACGAAACATTCAAGTTCAATAAACCATGACTGAAGGTGCAGGGCCAAATAACTTCCATGGAAATGAGAAATGCTGATCGTCCAAGCGGAACTTTAGTGTAATGCACATATTTCACCTCATATACCTAGAGGCTCTCAAGAGCCTGTGTCACTCATCTGTATTTACTGATGCTTTGGAAATCATGTAAAATAAGGTTAAAATCATAATTAATAGTATTAGATATTAGATATTATAATGATATCTAAGATAACTAGAGGCTCTAAACAGCCTGTGTCGCCTCACCTTGGTCTATGTGCATATCAAACAAAGGACACAGATGGATTCATGACAAAATTGTGTTTTGGTGATGGTGATGTGTTTGTAGATCTTACTTTACTGAACATTCTTGCTGCTTACAATTATCTCTATCTATAATGAACTTGGCCCAGTAGTTACAGTGGAAAATATTTTGTAAAAATTTACAAAAATTTACAAAATTTATGAAAATTGTAAAAAATTGACTATTAAGGGAAATTACTTCTTAAGGGGTCAATTGACAATTTTGGTCTTGTTGACTTATTTGTAGATCTTACTTTGCTGTACATTATTGCTGTTTACAGTTAACTCTATCTATAATAATATTCAAGATAATAACCAAGGCTGCAAAATTCTCTTAAAATTACCAATTCAGGGGCAGCAACCCAACAACATGTTGCTTGATTGGTCTTAAAATTTCAGGGCAGGTAGGTCTTACCCTAATGACCACTTTATCCTCGTCAGATTTGCTCTAAATGCTTTGATTTCAGAGATATGAGCCAAAAACTGCATTTTACCCTATGTACTATTTTTTAGCCATGTCGGCCATCTTGGTTTGCAGGCAGGGTCATCGGACACATTTTTTAAACTAGATACCCTAATGAACTTTGTGGACAAGTTTGGTTAAATTTGTCTTAGTAGTTTCAGAGAAGAAGATTTTTGTAAAAGATTACAAAAATTTACGAAAAATGGTTAAAAATTGACTATAAAGGGCAATAACTCCTTAAGAGGTCAACTGACCATTTTGGTCAAGTTGACTTATTTGTAGATCTTACTTTGCTGAACATTATTGCTGTTTACAGTTTATCTCTATCTATAATAATATTCAAGATAATAACCAAAAACGGCAAAATTTCCTTAAAATTACCAATTCAGGGGCAGCAACCCAACAACGGGTTGTCCGATTCATCTGAAAATTTCCGGGCAGATAGATCTTGACCAGGTTAACAAATTTACCCCATGTCAGATTTGCTCTAAATGCTTTGGTTTAAGCCAAAATCTACATTTTACCCCTATGTTCTATTTTTAGCCATGGTGGCCATCTTGGTTGGTTGGCCGGGTCACCGGACACATTTTTTTAAACTAGATACCCCAATGATGATTGTGGCCAAGTTTGGTTAAATTTGGCCAAGTAGTTTCAGAGGAGAAGATTTTTGTAAAAGTTAACGGACGACGGACGACGGACGACGACAGACGCCAAGTGATGAGAAAAGCTCACTTGGCCCTTTGGGCCAGGTGAGCTAATAAAAAAAAACTGCCAAATTTTTGTAAAATTACTAACTCAGGGGCAGCAACCCAACAATGGGTTGTCGGATTCGTCTGAAAATTTCAGGGCAGATAAATCTAAATCTGATGAACATTTTTGCCACCTCTCAGATTTGCTCTAAATGCTTTAGTTTCAGAGATATAAACAAAAAACTGCATTTTACCCCTATGTTCTATTTTTAACCAAGTCGGCCATGATGGTTGGAAGGCAGGGTCATCGGACAAATTTTTTAAACTAGATACCCTAATAATGATTAGGGCCAAGTATGGTTAAATTTGTCTCAGTATTTTCAGAGAAGAAGATTTTTGTAAAAGATTACAAAAATTTACAAAAAATTGTTAAAAATTGACTATTAAGGGCAATAACTCCTAAAGGGGTCGACTGACAATTTTGGTAATGACAACTTATTTGTAGATCTTACTTTGCTGAACATTTTGCTGTTTACAGTTTATCTCTATCTATAATAATATTCAAGATAATAACCAAAAACTGCAAAATTTCCTTAAAATTACCAATTCAGGGGCAGCAACCCAACAACAGGTTGTCAGATTTGTCTGAAAATTTCAGGGCAGATAGATCTTGACCTGATAATCAGTTTTATCCTTGTCAGATTTACTCTAAATGCTTTGGTTTCAGAGATATAAGCCAAAATCTACATTTTACCCCTATGTTCTATTTTTAGCCATGGCGGCCATCTTGGTTGGTTGGCGGGGTCATCGGACACATTTTTTAAACTAGATACCCCAATGATGATTGTGGCCAAGTTTGGTTAAATTTGGCCCAGTGGTTTCAGAGGAGAAGATTTTTGTAAAAAGCTAACGACGATGATGACAGACGACGGACGCCAAGTGATGAGAAAAGCTCACTTGGCCCTTCGGGCCAGGTGAGCTAAAAATGAAACAAATTCAATTGACCCCAGCTGGGATTAAATGAATTGTTTGAAGTAAAGTTCATTAATCACAATAATTAAAAGGATTAAGACAATTATGAAACAATTTACAATAATTGAATGGAAATCGGTGATGTCTCAGGATTTGCTTCGTTCCGCAAGTGATTCCATAATTTTTAGTGGCTGACCTTTGTAAATATTTGTGTATTGATTTAATTTGTGAATATTTTGTATCTGTACTTAAGAAGTGTTTAATTACTATAAGCTTGAATACGCAATCATAAATTGTCATATAAAAAAGGCACAATGGTCAAAATATAGTTTACACATTCAAATATCATACCGTTTTTCATGCATTCCAAATTTATTACCACACATTCGACCTCTGATGAGTCGAACTGCGGCTGAGTCGAATACTTTCATCCTGTCCCTTCAACTTCGACTCAATGAGGTTTGACTGTACATCTGCATACCAAATATATCACTAGTGGTTCCACATCTAATTATAAACTAATACATTGTTGATGTTGCAGATGGAATAGCACACCCAACTTGCTTTTTGGACTCCCTCCAAGCAAGACAAAAACTATATGAAACTATGGTTTTTCTCTTCTACCAAACAACTTTTTCAACATATCGTGACTGAGAAGTCAGGGCAAAATACTATTCATGGAAATGAGATGTATCCATGCTAATACATTTGCTTAACAAATATCATTGACTGACCATTTGTTGTTCCCCTTAAACTGATCTAATCACAAACTTTTACGATGATTGACCCCCTCCCTATGCTGCAGAAAAACAGACTTGCTTCTGCAACTTGCAAAATGGAGAGACAAATTGGCTATTTGATAATGGTTGTTTTATACAATATTCAAAACAAGAGTGCACATGCTGAAAAGTCTGGCCTGTTTTACTGACCATTGATTTTATGTTGAAAGTCTGAGATAAAGGTTTTACTACAATTATCACATAAACTTAACATTTTTAAACATCCATGAAAATGAGGTCAAGGTCAGATAAAAACTTGTCACACAGACATGTACACCTTACAATCATTCCATACGCCAATTATAGTTGACCCATTGCTTATGGTTATTGAAAAACAGTCCAAAACACAAACATTTAACGTTAACCAATGAACCATGAAAAATGAGGTCAAGGTCAGATGATACTGGCTAGACAGACATGTACACCTTATAATCTTTCCATACACCAATTATAGTTGACCTATTGCTATGGTAATTGAAAAAGAGACCAAAACACAAAATCTTAACATTGACCAATGAACCATGAAAATGAGGTCAAGGTCAGATGACACCAGCTAGACAGACATGTACACCTTACAATCATTCCATAAACCAAACATAGCTGACCTATTGCTTACAGTTCTTGAAAAACAGACCAAAACACAAAAACTTAACATTGACCAATGAACCATGAAAATGAGGTCAAGGTCAGATAATACCTGCCAGACAGACATGTACAGCTTACAATTGTACCAAACATAGCTGACCTATTGCTTACAGTTCTTGAAAAACAGACCAAAACACAAAAAATTAACAATGAGCAATGAACCATGAAAATGAGGTCAAGGTCAGATTAAACCTGCCAGTCTGACATGTATCCCTTCAATCATTCCATACATCACATATAGTTGACCTGCTGCTTGAAGTATCTGAGAAACAGACCTAATCACGTAACTTAAACCTTGATCACTGATCCATGAATTGAGGTCGAAGTCAGGTTAACCCTGTTTGGTGGACATGTAGACGCTGCAAGGAACCCATATATATCGAATATAGTTATCCTATAACTCATAATAAGTGAGAAATTCACATGACATAAAAACTGTAATTTTTTTTTCAAGCCGTCCCTGAACCATGAAAATGAGGTCAAGGACAATGGGCATATGAGTCATGGACAGACGGAAACTTCATAACATAAGGTATCTGCATACAAGGTATGAAGGATCCAGGTCTTCTACCTTTTGAAATATAAAGCTTTATACAAATAGTTTACGCCGCTGCCGCCACTTGATGGTAATACCTATGTCTCGTATACTGCAACTTTCGTCACAGGGAGACAATAACAATGGTCTATCATAATTATTGTTCTTTATAAAACACTATAATAATAATTAAGACTTTTAAAAAATATGTCAAACCAACATCTTATACAGGTTTTGTGTCATAAAGTATTTTTTCTCTCAATATTTACCTAATGATAGTGACCATCCTACTCTACAAGCTGTATCAGCAGGCATTTCTTCTACAATAATTTCATAATACCAAGACCCTCTTCTTACACCTGAAAAATAGTCAATATATGTTTTAAAAACCTATCTTCTTTACACATAACTTTGTATTTCTAACATCTCTATAACAAGTCCATATGTTGAAATATCTCACTTGCTTTACTGATCATAATTGAATTTATGTTCAAATTCTTTAAGTTAAAGGTTTTACTTCAATTATCACATAAAGTTGAAAAACTAAGCATTATCAATGATCCATGTAAATGAGGACAAGGTAAGATAAAACCTTTCCAGAAAGATATGTACACTTTACAGTCATCCAATACACCAAATATAGTTGACCTTTTGCTTTTAGTATCTGAGAAACGGACTTGACCATAAAAACTTAACATTTACAAATGGACAATGAAAATGAGGTCAAGGTCAGATGAATACTACCAGTCAGGCATGTACAACTTAAAATTACTCCATATACCAAATATAGTTGTCCTATTGCTTATAGTATCTGAGAAAAAGATTTGACCCAAACTTGTTGAACACAATCAACCATCTTATTTGTTGGTATACATCAATCAACCATTTCTAAGTTCACACTTTCTGCACATTGACAAATCTAATCTGTTCATTTTATGAGTCTATTTATCTATTATTCAATTTTAACCAAACATACTTTAAAATGTAACATTATGAACCTTACTTTATAGTTAGATCTTTTTTTTGTCACAAAGTCCTTCCTATACAAACCAATACTCACCATGTGTAGCCCTAACCATACTATTACCTTCCTATACAAACCAATACTCACCATGTGTAGCCCTAACCATACTATAACCTTTCTCTCCAGTCACACTTAGTCTGTCATCAGATATCTTTAACTGTGGTGCTATTGAAAATAACAATTCTGTTCAGTAAAATAGCCAATCCTGACTTTAAAAAAGTTTACTGAAATGATATTTTCTATTCAGATACAAACAATTCAATAATTTTATAGACGTAAGTCTTTTTCTCTATTTTTGTATCAAATAAAATATTTCAGTTAGAAATTTTGAATTTATGCTTCATCTGTTTTACACTGACTCAATATAGACAAAATAGGGTTTTTCTTATTGTTGAAAACCGTAGAGGGGCTTATAATTGCTTACATCCACTCCATTTGAACTTTGGTGGATAGTTGTCTCTTTGGTAATCATAGCACATCTCCTTATCTTTATACCAAAATAGACGAGCTTTCTGGTATATGATTTTCAGCTCCCACCTACATCTATGTTACCACCATGTAAAGAATAACAGAGCTCATAACTAGGGTCTGTATCCTATTTTATTTACCCAAAATTACCCATTCATTGCTTACTTAAAATATGTCATTGACTCATCACAAACTGGATTTACACATTACTATTATGAAATAATATCAGAACAATTTCATATGTTAAAATTGGAAGCTTTACCTCTGTCATTTAGTGAAAGTAAAACTTCTGTCCCTAAATATGTTCTGTACAAGTAACCAGGGATAGGTTTGCCTGCCCAGTCAACACTTTCATCAAAAGCTTGTCTATTAGGTGCATGAGGGTCAGACTCTGCTAAAATATATCTGTAGCCATCTTTGTTGTAAGGATGTTCCAATGGATACCCATGCACTGCAACTTTTGTACTTGGTCCTATGTCACTTAAAAAGAAAATATAATTTTTAGAGAATTGTTACTTAGATCTTATACTGCATAAACAATTTTCAGTGGTAATCAAACTTTCATGATATTTCAAGGTCAACTTCAAATCACAATACAGAAAATCAAGAAAACACTACACACAGTAGTTCTATCAAAATTTTTAAATCTATACTGACTGTTTACACACATTATGATTAGGAATCATTTAATAATGAAGAAACATGGTATTTGTTGTTGACATTGTCAGCAGTAACAACCACCCCATTTGCCAGAAAATAAAAGCCTCATGAAAAAAAAAATACACATTCTTTTCAAGACAAAAGGTTTATATAAATAGAATGTGTCCATGAAACACAGATGATGCCCCTGCTTGCATATAACGTAAAAAGGGACATAACTAAAGAACTGTAAAAGTGACACCACCCTAATTCGAACTTGATCTGTGTTTTATGGTAATAAGCATTGTGTATGAGTTTCATAACATTTGGTTGAGACAAACTAAAGTAAGAGAAAGGAAACTAAACATTTCGGCAATTTTTCCATTTATATAGGGCCATAACTCTAAAACGGTAAAAGTGACTCCACCAAATTCAAACTTGATTTGTGTTTTGTGAATAAGTTTCATAACATTTGGTTACTAATTTTGGGACGGACGTACATAGGGACAAGGGTTATACTTAATGCCCCCTCTGCTGTGGCAGGAACATAAAAAGTCTGCTACTATTTACATTTACTGTGGATTCATTATTGTTCCCTAGATACCAATTTTCTTGGACTTCATTGGTAGAAGCAAACCAAATTTAAATGTTTAAACAAGAGTGCACATGCTGAAATGTCTCACCTTCTTTACTAATCATTGATATTATGTTGATAGTCCTAAATATAAAGCTTTATTACAACTGTCACATAAACTTAACATTAACCAAGTAAACTAAACATTGACCAATGAACCATGAAAATGAGGTCAAGGTCAGATGAACCATGCTAGGCAGGCATGTACAGCTAACAATTCTTCCATACAACAAATATAGTTGACCTATTGCTTATAGTTTAAGAAAAACAGACCAAAACACAAAAACTTAACACTGAGCAATGAACCTTGGAAATGAGGTCAAGGTAAAAAAAAAACTGCATGACTGACAAATAGATCATAAAATATTTCCATACACCAAATATAGTTGAACCATTGCATATAGTATTAGAAAAAAAGACCAAAACTCAAAAACTTAACTTTGACCACTGAACCATGAAAATGAGGTCAAGGTCAGATGACACCTGCCAGCTAGACATGTACACCTTACAATCATTCCATACACCGAATATACTAGACCTATTGCTTATAGTATCTGAGATATGGACTTGACCACCAAAACTTAACCTTGTTCACTGATCCATGAAATGAGGTCGAGGTCAAGTGAAAACTGTCTGACGGGCATGAGGACCTTGCAAGGTACGCACATACCAAATATAGTTATCCTATTACTTATAATAAGAGAGAATTTAACATTACAAAAAAATCTTAACTTTTTTTTCAAGTAGTCACTGAACCATGAAAATGAGGTCAAGGACATTGGTCATGTGACTGACGGAAACTTCGTAACATGAGGCATCCATATACAAAGTATGAAGCATCCAGACCTTCCACCTTCTAAAATATAAAGCTTTTAAGAAGTTAGCTAACGCCGCCGCCGCTGCCGCCGCCGGATCACTATCCCTATGTTGAGCTTTCTGCGACAAAAGTCGCAGCTCGACAAAAAATACAAATTTCCTAAAGGCTCGTATGGAAACTTTGGCAAATCCCCAAGAAATATAATTTTTCTTTAATCCAGAAAAATTGGTACCCACAGAAATAAATAAATCTGCAGTATTGTCCACAGTATTATCTTATGCTACAGTTAGGTTTGTTTTTGACTTAAAGAAATATGTCAAAATGACAAATGACAGTAACTTGATTTTTTTATATGACAAAAACAACTAGACAGGACAAACACAATATGTCCAACTCACATGCTTGTGACACTCAAATTGAAAGCACATTTACATGAACTCTAACAAAGCTTTATTTTTATTGCATCTTCTATTGCATTCTACATTCATACTATGAAAATAAAATCTTAAAAATAAATATATTGAAATCAAATATACCTTCTTTTCAGTTTATATCCTGGCTGTGAACTCTCTAATGGGGCTTTTCTTTTGGCACCTCTACCCTTTCCTGAAAAAAAAATATATTGTTACTTTGCTGCATCTGAATAAATCAAAGCAGTTCATTACAGAGTATGATTTCATTAATCTGTTCCCTTTTACACTGATTATTTTCAAATATGTTCCTTTTGGCCTATGTTTATTATACCAGCACGAGTATTTTGTACCCTTTTTGAGAGCTGTTTCATCATTCTATTCCTCTTCAGATTGTTTATTGTATTAAGCTATTCTTTTTGAGGCTGTTTTGTTTCATCAAACATGTTTCATTTTCCTTTGTAATGTTTATTTAACTTACCCGTCCTACTCGAGTATGCTGTCTTATTCATCTGTTTCATTTTTAGATTGTTTATTGTACTATTTTTCCCTTATGAGATGATTTTTGTACTTTTCCTCTATGAGATGCTTATTGTTCTATTTTTTCACTTTTTAGGTTGTTTTGAGTACTACTTTTCCCTTTTGAGGATCTTTATTGTACTATTGTTTTCCCTATTGATGTTGTTTATTTTTTCAGTCTGTTTTTAATCTGTTTGCGTTACTTACCCGTTTTTCAGCCTGTATTTAATCTGTTTGTATTACTTACCCGTTCCTTCTGGTGCTATGTTGTTTCTTTCTTCAGCCTGTATTAAATATGTTTGCGTTACTTACCCGTTCCTTCTGGTGCTATGTTGTTTCTTTCTTCAGCCTGTATTTTATCTGTTTGCATTACTTACCCGTTCCTTCTGGTGCTATGTTGTTTCTTTCTTCAGCCTGTATTTTATCTGTTTGCATTACTTACCCGTTCCTTCTGGTGCTATGTTGTTTCTTTCTTCAGCCTGTATTTAATCTGTTTGCGTTACTTACCCGTTCCTTCTGGTGCTATGTTGTTTCTTTCTTCAGCCTGTATTTAATCTGTTTGCATTACTTACCCGTTCCTTCTGGTGCTATATTGTTTCTTTCTTCAGCCTGTATTTAATCTGTTTGCGTTACTCACCCGTTCCTTCTGGTGCTATGTTGGTTTTGACTGTTTCTTTCTTCAGTCTGTATTTAATCTGTTTGTATTACTTACCCGTTCCTTCTGGTGCTATGTTGGTTTTGACTGTTTCTTTCTTCAGTCTGTATTTAATCTGTTTGCGTTACTTACCCGTTCTTTCTGGTGCTATGTTGTTTCTTTCTTCAGCCTGTATTTTATCTGTTTGCATTACTTACCCGTTCCTTCTGGTGCTATGTTGTTTCTTTCTTCAGCCTGTATTTAATCTGTTTGCGTTACTTACCCGTTCTTTCTGGTGCTATGTTGTTTCTTTCTTCAGCCTGTATTTTATCTGTTTGTATTACTTACCTGTTCCTTCTGGTGCTATATTGTTTCTTTCTTCAGCCTGTATTTAATCTGTTTGCGTTACTTACCCGTTTCTTCTGGTGCTATGTTGTTTCTTTCTTCAGTCTGTATTTTATCTGTTTGCGTTACTTACCTGTTCCTTCAGGTCCTATGTTGTTTCTTTCTTCAGTCTGTATTTAATCTGTTTGTGTTACTTACCTGTTCCTTCAGGTCCTATGTTGTTTCTTTCTAGTCTGTATTTAATCTGTGTGTGTTACTTACCTGTTCCTTCTGGTGCTATGTTGTTTCTTTCTTCAGTCTGTATTTAATCTGTTTGCGTTACTTACCTGTTCCTTCAGGTCCTATGTTGTTTCTTTCTATAGTCTGTATTTAATCTGTTTGTGTTACTTACCTGTTCCTTCTGGTGCTATGTTGTTTCTTTCTATAGTCTGTATTTAATCTGTTTGCGTTACTTACCTGTTCCTTCAGGTCCTATGTTGTTTCTTTCTTCAGTCTGTATTTAATCTGTTTGTGTTACTTACCTGTTCCTTCAGGTCCTATGTTGTTTCTTTCTTCAGCCTGTATTTAATCTGTTTGCGTTACTTACCTGTTCCTTCAGGTGCTATGTTGTTTCTTTCTATAGTCTGTATTTAATCTGTTTGCGTTACTTACCCGTTCCTTCTGGTGCTATGTTGTTTCTTTCTTCAGTCTGTATTTAATCTGTTTGTGTTACTTACCTGTTCCTTCAGGTCCTATGTTGTTTCTTTCTTCAGTCTGTATTTAATCTGTTTGTGTTACTTACCTGTTCCTTCAGGTCCTATGTTGTTTCTTTCTTCAGCCTGTATTTAATCTGTTTGCGTTACTTACCCGTTCCTTCAGGTGCTATGTTGTTTCTTTCTATAGTCTGTATTTAATCTGTTTGCGTTACTTACCTGTTCCTTCAGGTGCTATGTTGTTTCTTTCTACAGTCTGTATTTAATCTGTTTGCTTTACTTACCTGTTCCTTCAGGTCCTATGTTGTTTCTTTCTTCAGTCTGTATTTAATCTGTTTGCGTTACTTACCTGTTCCTTCAGGTCCTATGTTGTTTCTTTCTATAGTCTGTATTTAATCTGTTTGTGTTACTTACCTGTTCCTTCAGGTGCTATTTTGTTTCTTTCTATAGTCTGTATTTAATCTGTTTGCGTTACTTACCCGTTCCTTCTGGTGCTATGTTGTTTCTTTCTTCAGTCTGTATTTAATCTGTTTGTGTTACTTACCTGTTCCTTCAGGTCCTATGTTGTTTCTTTCTTCAGTCTGTATTTAATCTGTTTGTGTTACTTACCTGTTCCTTCAGGTCCTATGTTGTTTCTTTCTTCAGCCTGTATTTAATCTGTTTGCGTTACTTACCCGTTCCTTCAGGTGCTATGTTGTTTCTTTCTATAGTCTGTATTTAATCTGTTTGCGTTACTTACCTGTTCCTTCAGGTGCTATGTTGTTTCTTTCTACAGTCTGTATTTAATCTGTTTGCGTTACTTACCTGTTCCTTCAGGTGCTATGTTGTTTCTTTCTTCAGCCTGTATTTAATCTGTTTGCGTTACTTACCTGTTCCTTCAGGTCCTATGTTGTTTCTTTCTACAGCCTGTATTTAATCTGTTTGCGTTACTTACCTGTTCCTTCAGGTCCTATGTTGTTTCTTTCTACAGTCTATTTAATCTGTTTGCGTTACTTACCTGTTCCTTCAGGTGCTATGTTGTTTCTTTCTACAGTCTATTTAATCTGTTTGCGTTACTTACCTGTTCCTTCAGGTGCTATGTTGTTTCTTTCTACAGTCTGTATTTAATCTGTGTGTGTTACTTACCTGTTCCTTCTGGTGCTATGTTGTTTCTTTCTAGTCTGTATTTAATCTGTTTGTGTTACTTACCTGTTCCTTCTGGTGCTATGTTGTTTCTTTCTAGTCTGTATTTAATCTGTTTGTGTTACTTACCTGTTCCTTCTGGTGCTATGTTGTTTCTTTCTACAGTCTGTATTTAATCTGTTTGCGTTACTCACCCGTTCCTTCTGGTGCTATGTTGTTTCTTTCTAGTCTGTATTTAATCTGTTTGTGTTACTTACCTGTTCCTTCTGGTGCTATGTTGTTTCTTTCTACAGTCTGTATTTAATCTGTTTGCGTTACTTACCTGTTCCTTCTGGTGCTATGTTGTTTCTTTCTTCAGTCTGTATTTAATCTGTTTGCGTTACTTACCTGTTCCTTCAGGTCCTATGTTGTTTCTTTCTTCAGTCTGTATTTAATCTGTTTGTGTTACTTACCTGTTCCTTCTGGTGCTATGTTTCTTTCTACAGTCTGTATTTAATCTGTTTGCGTTACTTACCTGTTCCTTCTGGTACTATGTTGTTTCTTTCTACAGTCTGTATTTAATCTGTTTGCGTTACTTACCTGTTCCTTCTGGTGCTATGTTGTTTCTTTCTTCAGCCTGTATTTAATCTGTTTGCATTACTTACCTGTTCCTTCAGGTCCTATGTTGTTTCTTTCTACAGTCTGTATTTAATCTGTTTGTGTTACTTACCTGTTCCTTCTGGTGCTATGTTTCTTTCTACAGTCTGTATTTAATCTGTTTGCGTCACTTACCAGTTCCTTCTGGTGCTATGTTGGTTTTGACTGCAGGTTGAAGAGCTTGAAATGATTTTAATGGATCATAATTTGGTCCAATCTTTTCTAAGTCCTAAAACAGAAAGTTCTTATATTTTTACCACATATTTACTATTCCAGATAAACTGTTGACACAGAGACATGTCACACCTGAATGTTATAATGATAGTATAAAGCAAATGTTGAAATTAAAATGGCAATACTGTAACATGTAAACTATGTAGAACATACAAAGTCCAAGAACCATGACTGAAGGTGCAGGGCTATTTAACCTCCCTGGAAATAGTAAATGATAATACAACTGCATACCAAATACCATTGACTGATCAATAGTAGCTCCCTTTAAATTGACCTGATCACAAACTTAAAATGTAAACTATGCAAAAGTTTAAAGTCATTAGACCAAAACTGAGGGGACAGGGAAAAATAATCTACATTGAAATGAGATAGGCCCATCATAACACAACTGCATACAAAATATATACCATTGACACACCATTTGTGGTTCCCCTTCAACTGATCTAATCACAAACTAATACATGTAAACTAAGTCTTAAGTTTCCAAGTCAATAAACCATGTTTGAGGAGGACGGTAACATAATATTAATGGAAATGATATGTGCCATGCTTATACAACTGCATACCATATATCATTGACAAAACAAGATTACCACTAGTGGTTCCCCTTAAACCCATCAAATCACAAAATAATTCACTGTTGATGTCGCCGACACTGCAACCAGAAACAGCACGACTAAGTCTCACTTTCTGGACTTTTTTGAGGTGAGACAAAAATATGTACAGATCATTTGTAATAAAGATGGCTGTCACAAGTTTTCCTCCTATACTACTTTAAATAGTTTATTGGAGAGACAAGTTTGTAATTTGTATCTTTCTAACTTACAGGTATAATTAAACTGAAATACTGATCTGATCCATTATCATCTGTACATACAAATAATCCATCTTCTTTTGACTAAAAATAAAAGGATTAGTAGTTAAATAAAAATTACGATATAAAATTCAAATCCTGCTCTTCATAACATCAAGAAAATATTTTTTTTTCAAGATGATTAAATTTCAAATTATCAAACGAGAATTATCGCATTACATGGCAAGTAGCAACAGAATCTGTTATGTTTAACTGATATTTGATCAATTATTGACTTTTTTCAGGAGCTCCACAATTATTGTGGATTTTTTTGTATGACATCACTTGACATTATTTCCATCTAGTGCATAGATATTAAATTCATATGACCCAAACTGAATATTTTAAAACTTAAAGTTGAGAATGGAAATGGGGAATGTGTCAGAGAGACAAAAACCCGACCAAAGAGCAGAAAACAGCCCAAGGCCACCAATGGGTCTTCAACACATTGAGAAAATCCCTAAAAAAATGTGTACTTGTTCAGTGAAAATGAACGTCATACTAAACTCCAAAACATATAAATGAACTAAAATTAAAAATCATACAAGACTAACAAAGGCCAGAGGCTCCTGACTTGGGACAGGCACAAAAATGTGGCAGGGTTAAACTTGTTTAGTGAGATCTCAACCCTCCCCCTATACCTCTAGCCAATGTAGAACAAGAGTGCACACGCTGAAATGTCTCGCCTTCTTTACTAACCATTGATTTTATGTTGATAGTCCTAAATATAAAGCTTTACTATAAGTAACACATAAACTTAACATGATCCAAGAAAATGAGGTCAAGGTCAGATAAACCAAACGAGAAATACATGTACACCTGACAATCATTCAATAAACCAAACATAGCTGACCTATTGCTTATAGTTTCTAAGAAACAGTCTTAACCAAGAAAACTTAACATTGACCAATGAACCATGAAAATCAGGCAGGGTTTCAGCTAGGATTTTGAGGGCTTTAGTCACTTTTGCGCGAGATGAAAATTAACCTTATTTTGGGTAACAGCAATGAATCAAGGACATATATTTCTAGCTTTACCTAAGTCCTTCAAGGAATAGGACCTTTGTAGGCCATAGGCCTGCTGATGTAGGCAGTCATTGCATGATTTGACTAATGTGATACCTAAATATGAAGATAAGAACAGGGATCCAGAAATCTAGTTTTCAATTTCACTTCAGGTATTTGCAGGGGACATTCCTGATCAACAAAAGTTGGGTGCCTCTTTTTTTAAACCACAGCATAATTCCCATAAATGAACTTGTAACGACTATTTCACTGCGTAATCATTATCCTTGTAAAGACATTTAAATCGAAATTTGAAATTCATTTCTTTGAAGTTGGAAACAAGGATTTGTATCAATCCTTAATGGAACGATTGTTATGGCTGTACATTGTAAATTAATCGAGAATATATCACGTTTACCTTCTATTTTTAAACGAAATGAAAACGGGAAGTGACAAGTAGATAATAAATTCAGAATGAATCCGGATTCATCTACGGATTGGTTTCGCGGTTAACAAAAGGCAGGAAATTATCACTTTTTTAAATTAAGTTGCTTAGTAATAAATATCTTTGTCTCTCGTTTAATTTGATACTAAATGATTTCCTATTTTACGTTTTAGTGTCTACAAATTTATAAGAATACTTTACGCATGCGCAGTACACAGTAATAGAAGCACCTTTTTGACTCGTGAAAATATTTCTCAACGTAATGAATAGAAATGTTCTATCTTTTTAATCGAAATTGTCGAAAGTTTTTGATGAAAAGTTATATCAAATATGACGAAAATACGTTCATATGTCGAAACTACGACAAACAAACTGGATTGTTTGAGAAATATTGAAATCAAAATGCGAACTGTCCGGGAGGAAACAATTTTGTTATAATGACGAAACTAGGATAAACGAACTGCAAATTGTGGTCGTTTGAGAAATATTGAAATTGAAATTTTTACTGGGTTAAATAATTATGATGGTCAATTATGAGGTTTAAAAACAATTAACGGATTAGTGACCCATCTGATGGCGATAAGCGGATTAACTGTAATCACAACTTTTAACACCTGTTGAGTGTTGTAAACATTAATTAGCCGAGGGTCAGAAACATGAAGACAGGTAGAATTATTGTATTTTCATGTGAAAATTTTTTTACACTTTCCAAATTTAAGTGACGAAATTGATTTGAAATACTTTCGTCATTTCGAAAATCGTTTCGTAAAAGACGAAAGTGACAAGCGCTAGCAAAATCACTGAAATCAGGTCAAGGTCAGATGAACCATGCCAGACAGACATGTACACCTTACAATCAATGTATGCATTAAATATAGTTGACCTATTGTTTATAGTATCTAAGAAACAAACTTAACCATGAAAACTTAACATTGACCAATGAACAATGAAAATGAGGTCAAGGTCAGATGATACCTGCCAGACAGACATATACACCTTACAATCCTTCTATACAACAAATATAGTTGATCTATTGCTTATAGTTGAAGAAAAACAGACCAAAACACAAAAACTTAACACTGAGAAATGAACCGTGAAAATGAGGTCAAGGTCAAATAAAACCTGCGAGACTGACATGGTCATCATAAAATATTTCCATACACCAAATATAGTTGACCTATTGTCTATAGTATTAGAAAAAAAGACCAAAACTCAAAAACTTAACTTTGACCACTGAACCATGAAAATGAAAATTTCCATACACCAAATATAGTTGACCTATTACCTCTAGTATTAGAAAAAAAGACCAAAACTCAAAAACTTAACTTTGACCACTGAACCATGAAAATGAGGTCAAGGTCAGATGACACCTACCAGTTGGACATGTACACCTTACAATCATTACATATACCAAATATAGTAGACCTACTGCTTATAGTATCTGATATATGGACTTGACCACGAAAACTTAACCTTGTTCACTGATCCATGAAATGAGGTCGCAGGGGTTAAAATTAACATTTGGTACTGGAAGGTCCAGGACCTTTGACACTCCAAACTGAAAGGTCCACAACATAAATCCCAGGTCCTACTTTATTTGAAATATTTCATAACTCAGTAAGATACAAAATTAATGTATTTTTAGTCTTAGGTTAGCTAGTTTAATTATATTTGAACTGCATGCAATAATTTGTTAAGTTTACAAATATATTGGCCGGCAACCATATAAATGTAGCACTAAACTGTCATTGTCACTGTGGTATAACATGTATAATAATAAATGATGTAATTGTCTTACAAGTATATTTTTTTTGGTATTGGGGAGGGTGTCACTGTGGGTGGATGTGTTGTCTCAATTATTGGTAATTATACCATTATCTCAGGGCTTACACTACTTCAGAATCATAGGGAGAAGTGACTTCTCTTTTTTAAACTGATAGGGAGAAGTGGTGAGATTTGAAAGAGAAGTGCTCACTCAAGGCGCTACAATGTTTGATTTTTACTATAATATAAAGGGCTATATGTATCTTTTTTCATAACCGAGTATACAATTAAAGTAACAGTTCAAATTCATAGCTGTTTAAGTTCATCATATGTTGCACAATTATATTAGTTCTTCTCTTGTAGAAACTACCAACTAAATATCTAGCACTAAAAAAGAAAGAACTTTTTTTTACATCAAAAAAGAAAAGAAAAGTGTGGAATGCTTAATTTTTCCCTTTGGGATCAATATTCTTCTGTCAGATGTGCCTTTCATGGGTCCGTAGTCATTATCCTTAGAATCTGGATTTCATTCATAGCTGGTTCGTTTCCGGACTCCGATCAGTAGTTTGTACAAATATTTCAATGGCGGACGAGAAAATTTACAAAAATAAACGATGTTTGAAACACTATTTGGAAGGGAATATGATGTTTTTTAATGCAATGAATGGATTACAAATTTACTTAAGGCAACTTTCATCACTTCTAATGGGTTAACAAACTTATTTTGCCAACAGTTAAAATGGTTTGAAGTACGCTCTCGAGGGGTATACCATGTCAATAGTAATATGGCTTTGAAATGACGATACTGATGGTTAAAAAGGTCACCAAAGTTAATTTTTATTTTCTTTCAAATCGGAGGTCCGTCGTGTGTAGCTAGTAACCAAAATGAAAGTCCGATTGCAATAGTGGAAGGTCACTGACCTCGGTCCACCGCTAATTTGAACCTCTGGGTCGAGGTCAAATGAAAATTGTCTGACGGGCATTTTACTTTTATTATTCTTCCCTTAGTTTATTTATTTTGTATCAATATTATTTATTTTGTAAAAATATTTCCTTTCTCTATTGGTACTGTACACGTATACCTACAAACAAAATTATTTTCATTTATCTGTGTTTAAAGTTATTGCAAATGGATGGTATTTTTGTTCAAGCATTTTGTTTTTCTTTAATTGTTTAACATTTCTTACCGATATAACATGTTATTTTTATTATTCTTCCCTTAGTTTATTTATTTTGTATTTACATTGTGTCATAGGTCAAATTTATTTGTTCAGTGTATTGTCAATGGTGTTAATATGTCCTTTGATTGAGTTAAGCTATTTCAGTTGATATTTTATAGTGTGTCTTTCTATGTTGTGATGTTACACTATTGTTTCAGAAAAAGGGTGAAGGTTTGGTACCATTAAAACGTTTAAACCCGCTGCATTTGTTTGCACCTGTCCTAAGTCAGGAATCTGATGTTCAGTAGTTGTCGTTTGTTGATGTGGTTCATAAGTGTTTCTCGTTTCTCGTTTTTTATATAGATTAGACTGTTGGTTTTCCTGTTTGAATGGTTTTACACTAGTTATTTTTTGGGGCCCTTTATAGCTTACTGTTCGGTGTGAGCCAAGGCTCCGTGTTGAAGACCATACTGTGACCTATAATGGTTTACTTTTATATATTTTGACTTGGATGGAGAGTTGTCTCATTGGCACTCATACCACATCTTCTTATATCTACGAGGACCTTGCAAGGTACGCACATACTAAATATAGTTATCCTATTACTCATAACAAGAAAGAAATTAACATTACAAAAAATGTTGACTTTTTTTCAAGTAGTCACTGAACCATGAAAATGAGGTCAAGGACAATGGACATATGACAGACGGAAACTTCGTAACATAAGGCATCTATATACAAAGTATGAAGCATCCAGGTCTTCTAGCTTCTAAAATATAAAGCCGGATCACTATCCCTATGTCGAGCTTTCTGCTACAAAAGTCGCAGGCTCGACAAAAAACAAAAACACAGAGATGGTTTCTCTGTTCTATACTTCTTATATATAACAAGCATTCTGTGAGTATTGCATGGCAATACATAGTCTCCTACCGGTTAAAAATTTATTGTATTGGAACAAAATTCTAACTTGTCATGGTGTAAACTATATAACAAATATCAAGTCAATATCTTCAAGCATGACGAAAAAAAATGTTGAAAACTGACTATTTAAGTGAATTTTCTAAGTCCAAGGACCATAACTCTGCACAAAATCATCAGACCGGTAAAAAATTTGAACTTGATCTGTAACTTGTCATGATAAAACTATATACCAATTTTCAAATCAATATCTTCAAGCATGTGGAAAAAAAGTGTGGAAAACTGATTATTTAAGTGAATTTTTTAAGTCCAAGGACCATAACTCAGCACAAAATCATCAGACTGGAACAAAATTAAAACTTGAACTGTAACTTGTCATGATAAAACTATATATCAATTATCAAATCAATATCTTCAAGAATGATAAAAAAAAGTATGGAAAACTGATTATTTTAGTGAATTTCCTAAGTCAAAGGACAATAACTCTGCACAAAATCATCAGACCGGACCAAATTCGAACTTGATCTGTAACTTGTCATGATAAAACAATACACAAAATATCAAATCAATATCGTCAAGCATGAAGAAAACAAGAGGCTCTCAAGAGCCTGAATCGCTCACCTGCATTTCAGAGGAGAAGATTTTTAAATGTTAGAAAACTTGATGAACAAATTGTGTAAAATTGTCTTTAAAGGGCAATAACTCCTTAAGGGGTCAATTGACAATTTTGGTCATATTAACTTTTTTGTAGATCTTACTTTGCTGAACATTATTGCTGCTTACAGTTTATATATATCTATAATAATATTCAAAATAATAACAAAAAACTGCAAAATTTTGTTAAAACTACCAATTCGGTGGCAGCAACCCAACAATGGGTTGTTTGATTCGTCTGAAAATTTCAGAGCTGATAGATCTTGATCAACTGAACAATTTCACACCATGTCACATTAGCTCTAAAAGATTTAGTTTTTGAGATATAAGCCAAAAACTGCATTTGACCCTTATGTTCTATTTTTAGCCATGGCGGCCATGTTTGTAGATGGATACAAACTTCGGATATAATTTATAAACAAGATACCCTAACGAACATTTAGTTAAAGTTTAAAGGTAATTGGCCCAGTAGTTTCAGAGGAGAAGATTTTTAAATGTTAGCAAACTTGAACAAATTGTGTAAAATTGTCTTTAAAGGGCAATAACTCCTTAAGGGTCAATTGACAATTAAGGTCATATTAACTTTTTTGTAGATCCTACTTTGCTGAACATTATTGCTGCTTACAGTTTATATATATATCTATAATAATATTCAAAAATAATAACAAAAAACTGCAAAATTTTGTTAAAACTACAAATTCGGTGGCAGCAACCCAACAATGGGTTGTTTGATTCATCTGAAAATTTCAGAGCTGATTGATCTTGACCAACTGAACAATTTTACCACATGTCAGATTTGCTCTAAAAGCTTTAGTTTTTGAGATATAAGCCAAAAACTGCATTTGACCCCTATGTTCTATTTTTAGCCATGGCAGCCATGTTTGTCGATGGATCAAAACTTCGGATACAATTTATAAACTAGATACCCTAAAGAACATTTAAAGTTTGAAGGTATTTGGCCCAGTAGTTTCAGAGGAGAAGATTTTTAAAATAGTTTACGACGACAGACGACGACTACAGACGACGGACGACAACGGACGCCAAGTGATGGCATAAGCTCACATGGGGTCCTTCGGGCTCCGGTGAGCTAAAAAGTGTTGAAAACTGATTTGCCAGACTGACGGATGGACAGAGTGCAAACGTCCCCTTCGACTTCATCAGTAGGGGTCTAAAAATAAGATGATGTGGTATGATTGCCAATGAGACACCTCTCCACCAGAGACCAAATGCCACAGAAATTAACAACTTTAGGTCACCATACGGCCTTCACACCACGAGAAAAACCCATACCACATAGTCAGCTATAAAAGGCCCCGAATTGACAAATGTTAAACTATTCAAACGAGAAAACTAACGGCCTAATTTATGTAAAAATAATGAAGGAAAAACAAATATGATATACAGCAACAAACAACAACCACTGAATTACAGGCTCCTGACTTGGAACAGGCACATACAGAATGTGGTGGGGTTAAACATGTTTCTGTTTTTTTATGTTGTTGTGTTGTCTGGTGTCTTTGGCTGGAGCATATTGAATATAAAGCTTTGTTTGCATTGATCTTACCAAAGTTTTAGCTACAGTTGTATGCCATGTCAGCTTTATTCTCCTTGCCATTGTTGTCAGGTTTTCCCACTGTTTATCAATGTAAGGTATAATGTCCTAAAAAAAATCAATATTTTGAGCATTGTTGAAACAAGATATTTAGTAGGCTACCCTAATATGCAAGACCAGATTTCTCATGGCAGAGAGAATAATATCTAGTAAATTAATGAACCTCTAAACATTACATGTTTTAATACAACCATATAAGTATTGTAATAACAAAAGTAACTAGATATCATTGAGATGGGAGCCATCTCTGTGGGCCCCGCTGTGAATAATGTGTGGTAAAAAAATTGTATCTTTATCATTGGACATGGGGTTGTCAATTGAAACCAAAGTTTTTGACCTTGACCTTTGACCTAGGAAGTTGTACATAAATTATGACACACCCTCTGGTGTTGGTTTATATATATATCAAGTATAAACTTTGAAATTATAACGGTTCTCAAGATATAGAGCGGACACGATCTTTACCATAGGACATGGGGTTGTCAACTAAAACCAAAGTTTTTGACCTTGACCTTTGACCTAGGAAGTTGTACATACATTATGACACACCCTCTGGTGTTGGTTAATATACATATCAAGTATAAACTTTGAAATCATAACGGTTCTCAAGATATAGAGCGGACACGATCTTTACCATAGGACATGGGGTTGTCAACTAAAACCAAAGTTTTTGACCTTGACCTTTGACCTAGGAAGTTGTACATACATTATGACACACCCTCTGGTGTTGGTTAATATACATATCAAGTATAAACTTTGAAATCATAACGGTTCTCTAGATATAGAGCGGACATGATTTGTTACGGACGGATGGACGGACGGACGGACAGACGGACAGACAGACGGACAGACTGATCACTTAAGGGGGGCCGCCATTCAGCGGGGCCCTAATTATGGAGCTCTTTACAGGCAGTGATTTGCTATATAGAGCAGACTACACGAATGAATTTTATTTTTACAGGACATTCGGTCTGGTAAACAACATAGCTTTACCAGACCGAATGAAATTTTACCAGACCAATTTTTTTACATATAATTGTATATTATCCGACAAAATACAACAAACTTATGACTTGTTGTGACCTACTCCTATCCAAAATGCACAAAAACAAAGTCATGTGACAAGAGTGTATATTTCGATGAAAGTTGTGCACAATTGCTTGAATGCATTTCAGTGATAAAGAAAAGTAATGTCACATTTTATTGGATTTTGACATGAAAATTATTTGTGAACTAAAAATAATTTAGAGTTTCTGTATAAAATATTAACTGTATCTTCTTTCTTTTTCTTATATCTTTTGGTTTTCAATTCTAGTGTTTATATTTCATAGCTGTATTTTGTGAACCTGCTTGGATTTTTTATTTTTTTATTTATTGTATTTGATCGGCAAAACCCGGAATTGGCCTTATCCGTTCCCGGAATCTGATCCGGTATTGTCTACATTTCCGGTTGATGGCAGCCATTGTTGTTTTTGTCATTCAGATATGTTTTTACTCGGATTTACACATTACTTGTTGGCGATTTTCGGCATAAAGCTAGCGGTTGAACAAAATAAACATCGTTGTCATGAATAATAAAGATGAAAATGAATTTCGAGATCGTTTGGGTATTTTGCTCCCAAAATTGGGAAAAATGTAGGGTTTTTAGAAAAATCCATGAAAAAAACAACACCGGACATTCGGACCGGAATTCAACAAAATTTTACCAGACCGATCCATTATTCACCGGATTTGTCCGACGGTCCAACGAATTTCGTGTAGTCTGATAGAGGGACCTGCTATGCAATTTTGATGGTATTTTATGAGATTTCTTTCATTTTAATGGCAAGTTAATCTTTTTTTTTTTAAACTACCGGTATTTGCTTCTGCTATAAAAATCTTTCAAGTGTAACAACATACTTAAATTTCTCTGTTAACATCAATCATTGTATGATGGTTTTCCTAATTCAAAAAGTAACTGAAACTTTTAGATATTTTCACAATTAAGATCATTTAAATGCTGTTATTTTACTACAACAGAAATTTGTTACTACAATGCAGAAGGATAAGTATCATCTATAGCTGTAAATAACATAGGGAGGTATGCATCACTGAACTAAAATTTCTAATGATTTTTCAAGACGGTATGTCTTATCCATAATTGAAGTAATGTGTGTGTAATGTCCATCCTTATTTTGCATTTCAAGATAACCTTAAGGTTAGAACTCAACCACATTATTTATACCTTATCTTTATAGAAACTGGCATCATTATCTCCCCTTGCTAGCCTTAAGGTTTGAACTCAACCACATTATTTATACCTTATCTTTATAGAAACTGACATCATTGTCTCCCCTTGCTAGCCTTTAGGTTTGAACTCAACCACATTACTTATACCTTATCTTTATAGAAACTGACATCATTGTCTCCCCTTGCTAGCCTTACCACATTACTTATACCTTATCTTTATAGAAACTGACATCATTATCTCCCCTTGCTAGCCTTAAGGTTTGAACTCAACCACATTATTTATACCTTATCTTTATAGAAACTGACATCATTGTCTCCCCTTGCTAGCTTTTAGGTTTGAACTCAACCACATTACTTATACCTTATCTTTATAGAAACTGACATCATTATCTCCCCTTGCTAGCCTTAAGGTTTGAACTCAACCACATTATTTATACCTTATCTTTATAGAAACTGACATCATTATCTTCCCTTGCTAGCCTTTAGGTTTGAACTCAACCACATTACTTATACCTTATCTTTATAGAAACTGACATCATTATCTCCCCTTACTAGCCATACCACATTACTTATACCTTATCTTTATAGAAACTGACATCATTATCTCCCCTTGCTAGCCTTAAGGTTAGAACTCAACCACATAACTTATACCTTATCTTTATAGAAACTGACATCATTATCTCCACTTGCTAGCCTTAAGGTTTGAACTCAACCACATTACTTATACCTTATCTTTACAGAAACTGACATCATTGTCTCCCCTTGTTCTAGCTTGGCACATTAAATTAGCTATTGCTGTGCAACAAATCTGTGGAAAACCTACAAAACAAGTCATATACAATACACTTTATTCATATTTATAATATATTCAGTGTTATTCATTTCCTTCATTCTAAATTAATTTCTTTAAAAACATCATATTTCATTAAACTCATAATCATCTGTAATACTTTTTCCTGATTTTCTATCACCAGTGTTTTATTTTGGTAGTACATACTGTTACTTCAACATTTGCTAAAACCTTAAATTTCACTTAAATGTATAGAGAACCTTTACCTTATCCTTTTGAAATATACTTGCTATAAAATTAAACAAGTTTGCTTTTTTTTTTTAGAGTAATCTTACCGGCTTGTTTTCGAACAAAAGATTCCAGACCATTTTGTCCACACATCTTACAAGAAAACTGGTAATTTGTCATAAAAGGTATACATTGCCTGAAATTGATAATATATAAAAAAAAAAAATGGAACAAGCAATATGAAGAGATATGTTATCTGCATATTGTCTATGCCTGCATATAATATCAAAGTATTTGAAATAAAAAAAGATCAAATTATGCAATCATACGAGGAATACCAAACATTGGTCTAATTATCAATTTCTTTACAAATATATTACCGTTAAGTCATACAACTTGCAGTAATTGTCAAAACAGCCTATTAAATAAGGTGCAAAATTTTTAAAACATTGGAAAATTGACAAAGTTCAAGTTAGAACCTACAAGCCCTGCAGTGTTTATAATGAGTTTAGAGACCATTTAACAGTTATCTATCATTAATATGTTTGATTCATATGATTTCCATTACAAGAAAAACTCTTTCACTATATGCTGATTTTTAACGTCATATATAATGCAGCTGTGATATTTAAGCAGTCAAATTGCATTGACCATATAATCATTTGTGATATACAGTCACTGACTGTATATCGCCTTGTTTATGACATTGACAATACGTTTCCGTAGAGTTTTATTTATGATGTCATTTAAAGGTTTGAGGAATTTTTACGTCGTTCGCTCCATGATTGTTTTTACCCTAAATATTTCATTTAGAACAGTTATAGGAGTTGCAGTATATAAAGAATAACCATACATTGTCTCGAAATACAAGTTTTATTTGTACTCGGCTCAAAGTAGGATAGAAATGCTCAGCAGAGCCTTGCTTTCTACCTGTTTCAAGCCTTGTACAAATAAAATTTATATTTCGAGACAATGTATGGTTATTCTATATTTATATAGTTTAACTGGATTCCTGCATCTTTGAACTGACAAAGTCATTGTGCCTGCTTAACATTTTTCAAACACCTATTTTTATTCTTATGTACATATAAATCAAACCCTGCCAATAGAAATATGTTAATTTGATCTTTTTACGCACTTAAGGAAGCAGTCATAAGGAAATTATCCCTATTAGAATATTCATCCCTTTGCTCAACATACTGACGTAGATTCTATGTCCAACAAACGCACAAATGACGTCACATAAGGTCATTTAAAACCAAACACTTCGATGAAAAGATAACTATTAGAATGAAGCATATTGAAAAACTGGTTTGATAGGTTGAGTTTGAAATGAGTTTATAGATTAATTCTAGTTAGTCAATCTCTTTGATATTCTGAAACAAAGTTCAGTCACTAAATCTGGATGTGAATCACCTGACAGATTGAAAAGTATACCAATCAAATAAGTCACAGATACAAAGTATACCAATCAAATAAGTCACAGATACAAAGTATACCAATCAAATAAGTCACAGATACAAAGTATACCAATCAAATAAGTCACAGATACAAAGTATACCAATCAAATAAGTCACAGATCACAAGTGCCTGACATATATTGTTATCACAAAAATCAAAATTTTTAACATGTACAAAACCAAAATGACATATACAGTTAGTATAGTACTATTTCATATCCAAAAAATTTACACAATTGATAAGACTTATGGAACAAATTTTTAATTGGCTGTATCCCTGAAAGTATAAAAGCTAGATTTATCATTTTTTTTCGATATACAGATGCAGTTCAACCAGTTTAAAATACATACAAAAAATACAAGGACATCATTCGTAAATATAAATCAACATGCAGACATCTTATACGTTCAGGTATTTCACATCCCATCTTTTTTGGTAATATTCTATACAAAGCACAAAAATGTCGTCATTCACCTCAAAAACTAACAGAACCTTTAAACAGACTTAATCAGAAGAGTTAAAGTTACAATACTGTTGTCAGGTCATTAAAGATGGCATTTTTTTTAATTAATATTGATTCACTTGTAGGATCTTTGCATCAGAAATAAACACATTTATTCTAAAACCAGTTGTTGGCATGATACAGGTTATGTTCTTATATATATATATTTTATGATGGTATCACTATGATACTAAACCCCTAACGGGAGGGATTGTGCTTTATTTTCAAATGATGAAGACATAATCTTTCACTCATTTTAATTGAGGTCTGAAGCTGGCATGTCAGTATAACTGCTAGTAGTCCTTTGTTAATTTATATTATCATAGCCATTTTGCTTAGTTTCTTCTGTTACCTATTCTAATATCGGACTCCGACTTCTTTTAAACTGCATTTTACTGTGTGTATTGCTGTATGTTTGTTTTTTCCACATTGGCTAGAGCTATAGGTGGAGGGTTGAGATCTCGCAAAACATGTTTAACCCACCGCATTTTTGCGCCTGTCCCAAGTCAGGAACCTCTGGCCTTTGTTAGTCTTGTATGTTTTTTTCTAATTTTGGTTCATTTATGTTTCGGAGTTTAGTGTGACATCCATTTTCTCTGAACTAGTATACATTATAGTTCAGGGGCCAGCTGAAGCCCGCCTCCAGGTGTGGGAGTTTCTCAATGTGTTGAAGACCTAGTTGGTGGCCTTGGGCTGTTTTCTGCTCTTTGGTCAGGTTGTTGTCTCTTTGACACATTCCCCTTTTCCATTCTCATTTTTAATTGAAATCCGAAATATGGACCAATTACATATATTTTCTTTTAAAAGCTTTCTTGCTTGAATCCACGTCATTTGAACTTTTAGTGCATAGTTGTCTCACTGGCAATCATACCAAATTAATAAGAAAACTTTTGTCATTTTGAAAATCTTTTCAGTTATGGCGAAAATGACGAGTGCTGGCTAAATCTTCAACTCATCTTATTAAAACTGCACATTGAAATGAACAAGTGAACTCAATTTCAAGTTGATGGGACCAAAATCTTTAACCTGATAATGGATGGACAGATGCATAGACCAGAAAACATAATGCCACTACATTGTACTGTCAAAAGCAGGGCACAAAAGCAGTCTATACAGCAAGCATGGTGGCATAATATCACAACATATAAGCACTTCACTGTAGGACTTATTGAAAATAATTATCTTTATATAATAAAAAGCAGCTTTTACAGACAGCATGATACCACCTCAAACAAACACAAAACTGTATTTTTATACAAAATAATTACCCTAAATAGCAAACCTATACATACAGCATGGTACAACCTCATACAAACACAAAACTAAACATCTATACAAAATAATTACCCTAAATAGCAAACCTATACAGACAGCATGGTACAACCTCATACAAACACAAAACTAAACATCTATACAAAATAATTACCCTAAATAGCAAACCTATACAGACAGCATGGTACAACCTCATACAAACACAAAACTAAACATCTATACAAAATAATTACCCTAAATAGCAACCTATACAGACAGCATGGTACCACCTCATACAAACACAAAACTACACATCTATACAAAATAATTACCCTAAATAGCAACCTATACAGTCAGCATGGTACCACCTCATACAAACACAAAACTGTAGTTCTATACAAAAGAATTACCCTAAATAGCAACTTATACAGTCAGCATACCACCTCATACAAACACAAAACTGTAGTTCTATGCAAAATAATTACCCTAAATAGCAACTTATACAGTCAGCATGATACCACATCATACAAACACTACACTGTAGTTCTATACAAAATAATTATCCTAAATAGCAACTTATACAGTCAGCATGATACCACATCATACAATAAAACAAACACAAAACTGTAGCTCTAAACAAAATATTTACCCTAAATAGCAACCTATAGTCAGCATACCACCTCATACAAACACAAAAATGTAGTTCTAAACAAAATAATTACCCTAAATAGCAACTTATACAGTCAGCATGATACCACATCATACAAACACAAAACTAGTTCTATACAAAATAATTATCCTAAATAGCAACTTATACAGTCAGCATGATACCACATCATACAAACACAAAACTGTAGTTCTATACGAAATAATTACCCTAAATAGCAACTTATACAGTCAGCATGATACCACATCATACAATAAAACAAACACAAAACTGTAGCTCTAAACAAAATATTACCCTAAATAGCAACCTATAGTCAGCATACCACCTCATACAAACACAAAAATGTAGTTCTAAACAAAATAATTACCCTAAATAGCAACTTATACAGTCAGCATACCACATCATACAAACACAAAACTGTAGTTCTATACAAAATAATTACCCTAAATAGCAACTTATACAGTCAGCATACCACCTCATACAAACACAAAACTGAAGTTCTAAACAAAATAATTACCCTAAATAGCAACTTATACAGTCAGCATGATACCACATCATACAAACACAAAACTGTAGTTCTTAACAAAATAATTACCCTAAATAGCAACTTATACAGTCAGCATGATACCACATCATACAAACACAAAACTGTAGTTCTTAACAAAATAATTACCCTAAATAGCAACTTATACAGTCAGCATGATACCACATCATACAAACACAAAACTGTAGTTCTTAACAAAATAATTACCCTAAATAGCAACTTATACAGTCAGCATGATACCACATCATACAAACACAAAACTGTAGTTCTTAACAAAATAATAACCTAAATAGCAACTTATACAGTCAGCATGATACCACATCATACAAACACAAAACTGTAGTTCTTAACAAAATAATTACCCGAAATAGCAACTTATACAGTCAGCATGATACCACATCATACAAACACAAAACTGTAGTTCTATACAAAAAAAATACCCTAAATAGCAACCTATCCGGACAGCATGGTACAACCTCATACAAACACAAAACTATACATCTATACAAAATAATTACCCTAAATAGCAACTTATAGTCAGCATACCACCTCATACAAACACAAAACTGTAGTTCTAAACAAAATAATTACCCTAAATAGCAACCTATAGAGTCAGCATACCACCTCATACAAACACAAAACTGTAGTTCTAAACAAAATAATTACCCTAAATAGCAACCTATAGTCAGCATACCACCTCATACAAACACAAAACTGTAGTTCTAAACAAAATAATTACCCTTAATAGCATACTATACAGTCAGCATACCACCTCATACAAACACAAAACTGAAGTTCTAAACAAAATAATTACCCTAAATAGCATCTTATACAGTCAGCATGATACCACATCATACAAACACAAAACTATAGTTCTAAACAAAATAATTACCCTAAATAGCAACCTATAGTCAGCATACCACCTCATACAAACACAAAACTGAAGTTCTAAACAAAATAATTACCCTAAATAGCAACCTATACAGTCAGCATGATACCATTTCATACAAACACTACACTGTAGTTCAACAGCTCCTAGATTCCTTCCTTTACCACTGAAACATAAAAAATAATAATATAAAAGAACAGAGTTCCAATGTCCCTGTGCTGCATTTATTTTATCTGCTCAAGAGCAATTACTCAAAACAATTTATTTTTACTTTTTAATAAATATTTGACAAGAAATGTAGGAATAAGATCACTAGCAATGTTATTTTCCATATAATGCTATTTGAAAAGGGCATACCTCCTGCAAAAATAGTTTGTCAGCATTATTCAAAAGACCATGCTGATATTAGTCTTTGATAAAACTTAATAAAAATTGACAAGAAATGTAGATGTGAGGGTGCTTCCATTGCAATGTTCAACATAAATTATATTTCAAAGTGACATAACTCCTGTAAAACTCATAGATCAGTGCTGATTTCTGAACTTATCCAAGACATTGCTGCTATTAACTTATGATTTAAATTTCATTGCAATCCTACAAGAAATGTAGGTGTGAGAGTGCATACAATGCAATTTATTAAATAATTAATATTTCCAAGGGGCATAACTCTTTTTTTTAAAGTTGATGGGCACAGATTTAAAAATTTTAGACATTGCTGATATAAACTTTTGATATAAATTTCATAAATACCTGGCGAAAAATTGAGAGCGCTTACAATGCTATTTTCTATAGAATTTACATTTCTAAGGGAAGTAAAAATAATTTTAGACTTGGTTGATATAAACCTTGAATGTAAATTTCATAATAATTCTTCCAAGAAATGTAGGACTGAGAGCACTTACAATGCAACTTTCCATTTAATTTATATTTTCAAGGGACAAAATTCCTTTAAAATAGTTGTTTGGAACTGATTTTCGAATTTCTCTGAGACTTTATTGATATAAACCTTTGATATGAATTCTACAAAATCTGGCAAGAATTGTGCATGCGAGACCGATTACAAAACTGGACTTTTGGACTCCTGGTATTTTTATGTTCCCCTCAAAGTGTCGTGCAGGGACAAAAATCTGATCACTTGAGCAATTCAACTAAAGTAAATTGAATAGTATCATAAGATAATCTTAGGAACTACACCCCCCTCCCCCCCAAAAAAAAACTACTTAAGGTATTTGAAATATTGGTGTCAAAATATTAAATGTTTAAAAATAATGTATACATGTAAAATCATACCAATAACACACAGAGTCTGTTTCCATAGCTTCTTCAGTTTGTCTAGATTCACCTGCAAATAAAAAAAACTTCACCTTTAAGGAAGCATGGTATATAACTACATGCAGCATAAACAAAAAATGATTTTTTTAGACTTTCCAAAAATTTAATATATACCACATGACGTTCATGTTATTTCCCCATAAATATCCCAAAAACTATGTCATCATACCTCATCTCCTTATTTTTATATTAATTTAGAGCCACAGGTTTTCAAAAATTTTCCTTTTCTATTTGATAGGATTCTATAGATTGACTGAATGAGTTTAATTCCTCTTTAAGCACACTTGGCGTAGGTGGAGTAAAGTGGAGTATCAAGAGATAACCACCAACCCTCGGAAGGGAAACTGATTATCTGATTGTATAGAGGTAACGCACACTAGGGACTCTGTGGTTGATATATATATCATAACTAAAAGTTCAGATAAAAAAAGTTTGATAGGAAATAATAGGATTTGACTGCTTTAGATGAGTAATTTTCCTTTTTCAAATCTAGTTTTTGTTAAATGATGCCATTCTTATAAATAGCGCCACACCAATTTAATGTCTAGTTCTTCGGACAACTGCTAAAAAAATATGGGGCGAGCGAGCGATTTTTTTTTTTGTTTTAATTTTTTTCTTGAAAATGAGTTTTTTTCAAGCAAGTGCCCTACAAGAGATGCATGTGTTAGCATTTATTTTTTAATTGTGTGATTTAGAAGTTGTAAAATTTATGTACATGTTATAACTGGGTTACTTCATCGAAAAACGAGGACAACAGATGCTCTAATGCATATTGATTGATTTATTGAATATTTGTGGACGACGCTGACAGAATGTAGGATCGCTATGTCTCGCTTTTGCGATAAAAGTCGCAGGCTCGACAAATATCACAATATGTGTATGTATCCAAACAAATGCTCTTGAAATATATTTGATAGTTGTTTTCATTATATGGTAATGATTGTTTATTGGCTGCTTGACATCAAGTTGGAACTATTCATCCATATTTAAGATCAAAATAATGAGCAAGGTAAATATTTCTTGCTTTGTACTAAAACAACATGATGAGCAAGATAGCTATATTGCTATACATGGAACAAAATGTATATCCCAAGGTATTAAAATGTTCCATTAAAATGCCTGTCACATCATTCAGATACATTATTCTGACTGAGCAAAAAACTCTTTCCTTTAACTTCTTGCCTCCTAGAACAGGTCTTCAAAGGTAAAACAAGAAACGTATTAGATAACTGTGTGTTCAATAACAACTTGTCCACGGTAAAGAGCCGATACTACCGAATATTGGCATCCAGATTTTTGACTTTTTATTTACAAATCAATCTATCACATGTGCGTTTGAAACTATTGGAGCATTATATGCAATAGAAAAGCATCCATGTGAAGAAAATAATTTCAAGGAGAATTTTGGAGCGGCATGCTGGCCACAATTTTGTGGTCAATTTCTCCAAAACAAGAGAGGGGAAATCCAAAGAACTAGGAATCTAATTAGTGTGGCCTAAGAGATCACTGGCAAGTAATTTAAGTACTGCTTACCTTTTTCTAAACTTCCTTCCACCATTTCTGATTCATCACTTCTACAAAACAGTCAAATTTGTTTAGTCCTACTATAAAATCAAAATGGGTAAAAAAACATAAAAATGTTAACGTAAGTTTATTGTAAAGATATTTTGATTGAGAAATGTAAACCTTTTTGAACTGAAAAAGCCCCCTAAATCAAAATTTATTAATTTGTCAATCTTTGAATGTACAGATTGGTAATCACCAAAATTTGATATGATAACCTGTTTGGTATATACAATTATAAATGTCATTACTCAAATTGGCATATACATTTTTTTAATATTAAGTTGACAATTTTGGCCACGACAACAGATTCTACTTTGTGCATACATGGAGAAAAAAAATCCCCTTTCAAGGGCAATAACTCGTCTCTGAGGTCAAGTGATGATTTCAACCATGTTGACTTATTACGGACGGATGGACAGACAGAAGAACGATCAGTGCATTCATTAAGACCCGGTACCCGGTACTTTTACCCGCCTACGGAAGCATCTGGGACCGGCAGAAAAAATAACAAGAGTGCACACGCTGAAATGTCTGGCCTTCTTTTCTAATCATTGATATTATGTTGATAGTCCTAAATATAAAGCTTTCTTACAACTGTCACATAAACTTAACATTAACCAAGAAAACTAAACATTGACCAATGAACCATGAAAATGAAGTCAAGGTCAGATGAACCATGCTAGGCAGGCATGTACAGCTAACAATTCTTCCATACAACAAATATAGTTGACCTATTGCTTATAGTTTAAGAAAAACAGACCAAAACACAAATACTTAACACTGAGCAATGAACTGTGAAAATGAGGCCAAGGTCAAATAAAAACTGTGCGACTGACATAAAGATCATAAAATATTTCCATACACCAAATATAGTTGACCTATTGCATATAGTATTAGAAAAAAAGACCAAAACTCAAAATCTTAACTTTGACCACTGAACCATGAAAATGAGGCCAAGGTCAAATGACACCTGCCAGCTAGACATGTACACCTTACAATCATTCCATACACCAAATATAGTTGACCTGTTGCTTAAAGTGTAAGAAAAACAGACCAAAACACAAAAACTTAACATAAGTAATGAACCATGAAAATGAGGTCAAGGTCAAATAAAACATGCCAGACTGACATGTACATCGTAAAATATTTCCATACACCAAATATAGTTGACCTACTGCATACAGTATTAGGAAAACAGACCAAAACACAAAAACTTAACATTGAGCAATGAACCGTAAAAATGAGGTCAAGGTCAAATAAAACTTGCCAGACAGATATGAACATCATACAATATGACCACTGAACCATGAAAATGAGGTCAAGGTCAGATGACACCTGCCAGTTTGACATGTATCCCTTACTATCATTACATACACCAAATATAGTAGACCTATTGCTTATAGTATCTCAGATATGGACTTGACCACGAAAACTTAACCCTGTTCACTGATCCATGAAATGAGGTAGAGGTCAAGTGAAAACTATTTGACAAGCATGAGGACCTTGCAAGGTACGCACATACCAAATATAGTTATCCTGTTACTTATAATAAGAGAGAATTTAACATTACAAAAAATCTGAACTTTTTTTTCAAGTAGTCACTGAACCATGAAAATGAGGTCAAGGACATTGGACATGTGACTGACAGAAACTTAGTAACATGAGGCATCTATATACAAAGAATGAAGCATCCAGGTCTTACACCTTCTAAAATATAAAGCTTCTAAGAAGTTAGCTAACGCCGCCGCCGTAGCCGGATCACTATCCCTATGTCGAGCTTTCTGCGACAAAAGTCGCAGGCTCGACAAAAATACAAAAAAAAAATGCGTAAAATTCTTTTGAAGATTGTTCAAATCTAATTTCTTTCTTTCCTTGATAATCTCCGTTCTACGCCGTTCATGTGTATGTTTATAGGTGTCTTCGTCGAGGTCCGCGTTTAAGTATAGATCTATCTCCTGCTAATTTAGGCACACCTCCAAAGTAGGAGAAGTGATAATTATAAAACATGTGTCTGTATCTGTATCGTAAGAGCGCTTTTTTTAGCAGTATATTTTCAAGCGGCAAATTGTTGATGAATTTAAACAACAACAGCATTATTATATCTAATAAAAGGAAAGCAGCTTGTATCACAGATTATTTTATGAATAAAAGGTTTAATAAAGGTGAACATTCTATGAAATTCAGAAAATCGTTAATAGTATCAAATCAGTTCGTTTCCGGTTGGACGTTGTTACTGATCTTCGTTTTCTCGATATGTGTTCTATGTTGTGATTGAAATTTTTAGTGTTAGACTTCGTGAAACAATCTGAATTAACACGGAAAATTTAAAGTGAAGACAATATTTAATTGTTTTATTTCATTTTTGAAAAAAAAGTAATAATTACTCTACAGGTGGCAGTCTGACAGATTCACAATATATGACACTAATTACTTACACAAACAATTGACACAGTTATGATTATAACAAAGCAATAAAAAAAAGTTACAAGTTTTATTATCAATTTTTTTTAATAATATACTATGTAACTTATGAAATTTCATTCACAAAATTGAACAAATGCAAAACATTTAATAAAAGACTAAAGTATAAAAACAAACAAAACATTTCACATGAAACCCCTGCATTACAGGTCATACCATGGAAGTATTATATTTATACTTCCATGGTCATACATATTTTATAACTGATTACAAAATAATTATAAGCAATGTATTTTCAGATGATTACTCTAGAAAAAAAACAATTCAATGTTAACTTAAAGCAAATATTACAAACTTTACCCTATTTTTTTAAGTAAAAAATTAAGGCTGAAATCCCTAAAATCCAGGAGCTTCCAGGGGGCTTTGCCCCCCTTAACCCCTTGCCATTTGGGTTTGGTTCCCCCTATAATCTCAAAGGTACCTCCAGTCTAAAAAAATAATGAAACCCCTGGAACAAGGGTAACACTTTAGCCCCCCTCTGGTGAAGACAGGGGCATAAAATTCATAAAATGGGTAAAAATTGTCATCCAGGGGCAATAACACCTAAAAGGAGTCAGTTGACAATTTCAGCCTTATTAACTTATTTGTAGATCTTGTGTAAGTGACAATTATGATCAAGTTGACTAATTTATAGATCTTATATATTGCTGAACACATTTGCTTATTGCAATTTCTCCCTATCTACAGTTACTGCAAGAAAACATAAAACATTAGTAAAATATGTCTTTCAAGGAAACGAGGCCAATAATTCCTATAAGGGGTCATTTGATGATTTTAAGCTATGTTGACTTGTATATATAGACCTTATTGTTTTGGTAATTTTTACTGTTTAAAATTTATCTATATCTGTTATAATTTTCAAGATTGTACTCAAAAACTGTGAAATTTTCAAAAAAATCACTTTTCAGGGGCAACAACTCCAAAATTGAATATCTGATACCTATGGATCTTAAAAACACTGGCTTCATCCTCATAAGATTAATTGTTCATTTTCCAATTCTGAATAAAATGTCATATTCTGCTTTTAAATTATATATTAATAGTTGGTTGGCCAAAAATTCATCTATTCTGGGTTTTTTTTATTTTTTTTTTGAAAATTATGCAGGAGATAGACCTTGAACTACTGATTATTTTGAGACTGATACTATGTATCCAACATCCAGGTAAAGATTGGTAATATTTGACACAGTAGTTTAGAAGAGAAGATCTTTTTTTCCCTATATATTTTCATACATGACATGTCATGTCATATAATACGGGTCGGTCTTTTCACCACAGAACACCGTGGAACACCACCGAACACCCAAAAAGACCACTAACCCTTAAGAAAAACATTAATGCTACTCAATTAAACAATTAAATTACGTAAAATGTAATCCTATTGTCATGTTTTCCACATTTTTATGTGCATTAGTGATGTTAAAGTTAAGAATCAAAATTAAAAAAAAAAACTCTTCCGGATCCAGCAATATTTTTTCCGGATTTACATTGTCTGTATTTCATTGTATATTATCTAATTATGGTCTTTACTTTTCAATTATTAGAAATAAATTGTTCAAATAAGTTACAATGTCAACATTTTATTAATGTGAAATTATCACAATAATTATATTTAAAAAAATGTTAAGACTTGAAAGTGTACTGTTCTGACAACATCCCTGCAAGACTGTTCTTTTTGGTTCTCTTGTAATCATTTCTTATTAATTTGTGTATATATACATATAAACTTTTCATCCTTGTTCAGAAGGTAAGACAAATATATAAATAAAGATGAAAACAATATATTTAGGTGTGTTAGATGGTATTTTAATGTGTTCGGCGGTTGGTGGTGGTGATCGGTGGTGAAAAGACCTACCGCTATAAAACTATGATTTTTCCCAAAATATTGTGAGGTCATTTCTGGCTGGATTCTAATCATTTTGGTACCCAATAGAAGCACAAATACTGCATGTGTATTTGGTTATATTTTTGTTGTGAATTGCTTTCATTCTCTGATAATATAGACACAAGTATTATTTTTTTATCTAAATATTTCAACCAAATTTAATTATTAAAGTCATAAAGATGTTCACATCATCATGTCTCATGATCACCAGAAATCAAAATCAACTAAAGATAAAACAGGTCAGGAATAACCACCAATTGGTGGATTATACCTCAATTGACGTATAATCCACCAATTGACATATAATGGTATAGACCAATTGACGTATAATTCTTTGTTTTTCAAAGCAAATTATTCAACCAAAATGGAGCATTGTTTTCTTAAAACCATATTATTGTATGAAAACATGTCAAACATTCCTAGTTTAGTATAGTGACATAACATATTGCATTTAATCAATAATTGTATTTGCAGTTTCTTCTATTGTTATCTTGTCAATTCTTGATTGGCAAATTTACCACTAATCACCTGTCAATGGACATCAATACTGTCTGTAGTCATGTGATTATGAGTACAACTCCACAGGTGAATGGAGCTCTTTGTTAATACTTGACTTTCATTATTAAGAGTCAATCATGGTCAATAGTACAGATGTTTCAACAAAAGAATTGTTGTACACATGCATTCTCAAGAGATGCAGCAGGCTTTGACAAAACTGAAACTTTCGGAGGACTCAATAATGGTCATAAAATAGGTTGTAAGTTGCAAAATGATGCTCCTATCTCACACTAGCATTTTATAACAAAAAACTTGCATTATACGTCAATTGGTCTATACCAATATATGTCAATTGGTGGATTATACGTCAATTGAGGTATAATCCACCAATTGGTGGTTATTCCTGACCTGTAAAATGGTAACCTTATACACAAATATACTTCGGACAATTCTGCATCTTTCAACACCTGGCTTGTTAAAATCCATTCATAAGTGTCTTCTAAATGTTTATTTGGATACATGTGTACATGTTATCACTGGAAATTGATATAGCAAAAAATTGCAGGTGAAGAATAGTTATATATATGCACTGTATACAGCAGGTATATAACAAAGTGACGCTTCATACACACAGCATTTTGAAGAATGGGTGTTTTATGCGAATGTCATTGTTTTAATGTAAATAAATAATAAAGGAAACCTATTTTGTTCCATTGAATGTATCCCGATTGCCGCTTTGTCGTCCATATTGGAAATGTTGGAAAAGGCTGTAATAATGTGGTGTGTCCCGAGCCAAGGCTGTAAACCCGGGCCGAACCTACATTTTTTAAACAACCATTTTAAGCTGCCAAAAACCATTCGCAATTTTCGCTTAGCTCTAAAGATTCTGTAAATTAAGGTGAGATAAATGTACTTTTTAGTCGTTGTACTGACTGAAAGAAAAGCGGGAGTGCAATTTTTGTTAGTGTTGACAAAAAACTGTTCCATGTATATCAAGGGTTTGTATAGTGAGACAAATCCTTGACTGTATATGAAAAAGAAAAAAACAAAAACCAGTAATCATAGTTTTAAGAGTCAAAATTATTTTTTTTAGTTGAATAATTGTCCGAGTTGTTCTTGCTTGAAAGTGGAGGAGCAGAGTCATTTATAGTTCCATCTTCCCATCCCGAGTCGAGAATTAGTAGAGGCGTGAACTGCGAAAAAAATACACCACTTAAAGTATGTTTAATAAAGTTTTATCTGGTAGGAAAATAACTAATAATATAACAGTATATTGCGTCCCAGCTAGGTTTTAATAAAGTCTGATAAAACTTTCCAATTTAAAAATAATAGCAGCTAGGGAAAAACGTCTCTGATACATCTAACCAAACAATACCCTTCCAAGTCCGGTCTGTGTTTTTGTTAGATGTTTTTCTGCTTTGTATCGATCTGAAGAGTTAAGCCCTTTTCAACTGATTTTTATAGTTTGTTCTTATGTTGTGCTGTAACACCACTGACCCATGTTAGGTTGGCGCTCACAAACATGTTTAACCCCACCACATTCTTTATATGTGCCTATCCCAAGTCAGGAGCCTGTAGTTCAGTGGTTGTCGTTGGTTCATGTCTGTCATATTTGTTTTTCGAAAATTGTTTTGTTATAAATTAGGCCGTTAGTTTTCTCACTTGATCAGAATTATTTCATATTTTTTTGGCGGGGCCTTTTATATCCGACTATATGATATGGGTTTTCTCACTCGTTTAAGCCCGCATTGCTTACATCCACTTCATTTGAACTTGGTGGATAGTTGTCTCATTAGCAATCATAAAATTGAAAATGGAAACGGGGAATGTGTCAAAGAGACAACAACCCGACCAAAGAGGGGAAATTGGCCCAAGGCCACCAATGGCCACTAATGGATCTTCAACACAACGAGAAAATCCCGCACCCGGAGGCAGGCTTCAGCTGGCCCCTAAACTAAAATGTTTAACCCCGCCGCATTTTTGCGTCTGTCCCAAGTCAGGAGCCTCTGGCCTTTGTTGGTCTTGTATGACATGTTTTTTAATTTTAGTTCATTTATAAAAAAATATGTTTTGGAGTCTAGTGTGACGTCCATTTTCATTGAACTAGTACACATTTTTGTTTAGGGGCCAGCTGAAGACCGCCTCCGGGTGTGGGATTTTCTCGCTGTGTTGAAGACCCATTGGTGCCCTTCGGCTGTTTTCTGCTCTTTGGTCGGGTTGTTGTCTCTTTGACACATTCCCCATTCCCCATTTCCATTCTCAATTTTATTTGTGAGATCTCAACACTCCCCCTATACCTCTAGCCAATGTAAAATAAACAAACACATAGCAATACGCACAGTAAAACTCAGTGTATAGGAAGTCCGAGTCCCGGCGATGTTAGAATAGGTAACAGAAGAAACTAAGCAAAATGACAATGATAACATAAATTAACAAAGGATACCACATCTCCTTATTTTTATAAGCACATCATAAAGACAAATATGTGCTAAACCGCTAAGTTTTTCAATTGTGGAAAAGTGTTAACATATAAACATATCAGTACGGAGACTTTTGGTGTTGACTTTTGTTTTTTGTCTGATGTGTTTATTCAAGGAACAGAAATATACTGGGTGTATGAGCAATAAACTTGAGCTCACAAATATATTTAACCCCGCCTAATTCTATATGTGCCGATCTCAACTTGAGTCAAGGGACTATGTTAAATAAATAAATAAATAAATAAATAAATAAATAAATAAATAAATAAATAAATAAATAAATAAATAAATAAATAAATAAATAAATAAATAAATAAATAAATAAATAAATAAATAAATAATAAATAAATAAATAAATAAATAAATAAATAAATAAAAAAATAAATAAATAATAAATAAATAAATAAATAAATAAATAAATAAATAAATAAATAAATAATCTTTATTTCAAGAGGATAATCCCATTAGTTTAAACTAATCTTTCTGAGAGTCCTCAAAATAATAATAACATATTTATAAAATACATACAATATTATAATGATATATACACAATATACAATTATATATATATATATATTAATGAAAAAGCATATTAATTTGCGCTATTCATGAAAAATTTGTAACATTTTGTTTTAAAAGATAAAAGTGTATTACTCATCTTTTTTTCATTTGGTAAACTGTTCCATATATGAGAACCAGAATATATAAAAGTTTTCTTCAAAAAATTTGTTTTTTGCTTTGGAAGTTTTAATAGTTTTTCATCAACGTAAATTATAATTTTGATTATCAGTAAAATGATTGTTTTTCTCGTAAATAGATAGGAACCATATATTTTAATGATTTAAATACAAGTATTGCCTTTTGATATTGAATTCGCTTTTCCACATTTAACCAATTTGAACCATTAAACAATACACTGGAGGATGTCATTGTGTCAGCTTCTACTATAACCCTAGCAGTTTTCTTTAATAACTTATTAAGTTTATTTATTCCACTTTCATTAAAACTACCCCATCTATTGCAACAATAATCAAACAATGGCAGAATATAAGCATTAAAATAAATAATACGTATATGCATATGTTAATACTTTCTTATCTTTTGTAATAAGTTGATTCTATTTGATATTGTACATGACATTTTATCTATTTGCTCATTCCAATTTAAGTTATTGTCAATATATAAACCAACAAGTTTTTCACAATCTACAGTCTCTAATTGTTTAACTGAAATATTGATAGCTAAACTGTTCCCAGTTGAATAAAGCCTCTGTTTTGGACCAATAATCATTGATTTACATTTTTTGGCATTTAGTTTCATACAATTTTCCAAACACCAGTTTTCAATTATATAAATATCATTTTGAAGGTTAGCATTTAACTCATGTACATTATTACCTATACTATGTAAAGTAGAATCGTCTGCATATAAATCTATTAATGATTTTTTATGTTCAGTGGTAAATCATTGATGTATAAAATAAATAACAGAGGGCCAAGGATGTTCAGTGGTTATCGTTGGTTGCTGTCGGGCATGTATTGGTTTTTTTTACCTGGATTCGTTTTCACAAAAAAAACTTACGACCAAGCATGAACAATTCAGTATACTTACGATCAATCTTAGTCGTAAGTTTTTTTGTGAAACTGACTCCAGGCCTTTTTGTTTTTTCGTTTTAATTGTTTCCTATCATGTCATGTCGGGATCTTTTATAGCTGGGAATAGTATACCAATATATTATTTCCCAGCTTTACGGTATAAGTTTTGCTCATTGTTAATTGAAGGAACACGGTGATCTATAAGTTGCTTAAATCTACGGCATTTCGGACTTTGTTGGATAGATGTATGATTGACAATCGTACCACATAACCTTAATTGAAAATGAAAGAATATTTGCCTTAATTGAATAACAACTAGATATACTGGTCAAAGAATTGGCGACTAATGCCTAGCAATAAGATATGAGAGAATAAAATCTAACAATTTCAACGTCGGATAGTAAAGAACTGTATTATTCATACTGATAAATAGTCAAGTTCCTAGTAAAACATTTTTGCATCCGATTACTTTGATTGTGATTGTAAAAAAAACGTCGAGACAAAAGATTGCCTAAGATTACAACTAAGGAAGTAGCACCACTGCGGGTTACTACATACTTGTGTGATACTTAATGATAAGAGTGTGTGTGGTAATTTGATCAGCAGTCAAAACAGCAGCCATGTTATAAATACTGTGTAAATCAACTTCTCAACAAATTATACGGAGAAAACTTAAACTAAGGCGCAAATGGTGAGTTATTTTCCAAAAATATTCATATGCAGTTATTTTTGTTGATTCATACGCACACGAAATATAAAGACAACTAACAGAGACACAAACATACTTTCGTGGTTGATTTATAATTTGACTCGAACCAATTTTCACTCTTTATCATGTTTATGAATGGAAATTATTTGCGTACTATTCTTAGACTGTCATGATGTTGTATGTATATAACATGTATATAAAAGTATTGATACATTATTTTTACTTCAAACATGTTTAAAAACGGAGGTGTTAAAAAAATTTCTCCATGTTTCCGTTTTCTATCGATATGCACTAAGTTCCCTACTGTTCAGACCTCGTACAAATATCGTGAAGACGATGTCCTCAGGTACACGGTGACTGGATTCCTTCCTCTCTTAATTTTTTATTAAGTTACTGAGCTTTTTTGTGTTAATATTTACTCGTTTACTTCATAACATAATCTGCAAATAGTACAAGATGAGTAGCTATCAACGTTTTTTTTTGTTCAGTTCTCATGGACATATATACCTCCCATCTATTTTTATTCATATTTATGACATTTATTATTGGCAGAACGCACGATCTTAACCCATGGCAGAGCTCTCAGTTTGATGATGAAAAAGAGGAACGACGATATAGTTAAAATTTGTGTCATGATGAGAAATAGTAATGAAAAACCTGTAGTTTTATTTCGCATCATTTCATTACATATAAATGTATGTTTTATTTCTCATTAGATTATTTCATCGATAATTATCTTCCAAATGACATTTCGAAATCATCATAAAACTTACTATCTAATAAAAAAAATTGTTCTTTTGTGGCTTATATCTTACGTATTCACATTGCAAATAAAGTCACTACTGTTTGCTGGTCCACTGAGGAAAAGGCCATCAAGATTTTCTACCTGAAGTATTTTCGCTGGTTTGTGACTACTGGTCCCTTCTGCTGCATTTGTGAATCGGAATTAGTAATTGAAAAAAAATAATAAACGTCATCATGGTCCTTATTTAGACAAGGTTAGCAAACATTTTCTCGCTGCATTGAAGACCCATTGGTGGCCTTCGGCTGTTGTCTGCTCTTTGGTCGGGTTGTTGTCTCTTTGACATATTCCCCATTTCCATTCTCAATTTTATTTTTTACAGAGTTTGTCTTTAGTGCCGTGTGGAGACAATAGAGTGCCTCTCCTTGCTTCAGGTTTATGCTCTTATAGTATACTAGTTAATGGAGTGTGTGTCCGAGCGAGAACATCTCTATATTCATTACTTTAGGAATATTCATTCAAAGCACAGTTTTCACTATTCAGCCCCATTCTATTATTAAGTCAGACGTCAGACGCTACCCTGATATACCCTGTCTTTTGTTTTTTGTCCTCAAGTTTTGTTGTTAACGTATTTTGTCGGGTACTTAATGACGGATAGCATTTGACGTCTTTATCCGAACAGTTTTATCATTTTTACTGTTTTATATTCCTGTTTGCTGGTTCATATTCTGGACGCCATTCTTTGCTCCTTTCAATTGGTAAAAACAGGTAACAAAAAACAAATCATGAAACTTCGAAATGAAAAAATACTTTATACTAAACTCGTTCAAAGGGTATCTACACGTCTCAATCTTCAAAATCGATTATCTAAAAATACTACAATCGCTAACATTTTTAATAACAAAAATCGTGGTTACCCTTCTATCTATAAGTGTCATGCCAAAAAATGACTTACATGTCCCCGTCTTTCCACCAACAATACGGTAAGGTCCACGTTTAATGGTCGCACATTTTCCCTAAATTTTGAAACTGATATTACTTGAAAAACTAACAGTATTATATATTTACTCACATGAAACAAACCGGGATGTGGTATTCAGTACGTAGGTGAAACTGGACGATATTTATCAAAACGCAAGCAAGAACACCTTTATCGTTTTAAAAGACCCAATAAATTCAAAAGTATCATTTATCAACCCCTTAAGAAGCACAATCATCCTTTTAAATATTTAACAGTTCAACCTTTAGAAGTAGTTAATAAGCAGCCTGGAGAATCTCATTCAAAATTTGTACGATCACGAAAAATAATTGAATTAAATTGGATTAAAAAATTAGACAGTCTATCCTCTCGGTCTTAACGACAATATCGTGGAAATTGGTAATATATCTAGAACAGATTCTGTTAACATTTTGGATATAGTTTCTAAAACAGTACGTAAAAACCGTTCTCATGGGCGTAGAATAAATCGCAATCAAAGAAAATTTCGTAATAACAATACAAATATTTCGGACCTAATTTCTATTTCAAAAAACAACGGTAGACACTATCTATTAACCAAGCTCTGTTCTTTGCCTGTTAATAAATTACATTAAATTTTGGAGGAATGCAACACAATTCCATATTGCAGTCCTAAGTATGAAATCGTCCAAATTATAATTGCATATTGTTATTCTAAATTGTTTCCCAAAATTGATCGCCCTGAAGATCACAAAAAACATTTTATTAAAATTAAATATGTCAATAAAGGTTTTGATTTTGTAAATATTGCCGGTATTTTTAATGATCATTCTGTTAAAGAACAAATTCCTGGCTATTTTGATAATACTGAACTCCCTCTTATTTGTTATGTTTACAAAAAATCTACCCGGAAATATGTGTTTAATTACAGCGAAGTGTGTAAAGATGTTAATATCAGTGACACCATGCAATTGCAGTAAATCCGAATACATTTATGGTCCCAGTTCCCATGTTATAACAGGAGACCTTAGCATCGTTCGTGACCGAGAGTTGAAATCATTCCTCAGTAAAGGACCTAAATATCGTCCCCGTCAACTATTAATTGGAATGAGAGTCGTAACATCATCCACGACTCACTCCGTACTTACTGCTCTAAATGGACAAAACGAGAAAAAGCTGACAAGAAATCATTAGATTCTTTTTTTAATTCGGTAATGAACATAGTTGATATACGTATTCAACATTTTAAAGATCATTTTACTCCTAACAACAACCATAATAGCCCAATTTCCCGTATCTAACATAAGCTAAAAGAACTCGCCAAGGAATATATTTTTGTCCTGGCTGATAAGGCTGCTAACAATATCATTATTGTTCGACGTAAATTTTACATTGATGTTCTACAAAAGGAAATCACGAATATACTAACATTCCAACTGACTCCATTTTCTGAAAATGACATCTGTAACAAACATAAACTTTTAGCTACCACTTTACAAGCAGAACCAAATACAATGAAAGTTCCAACTAGGTACTGGCTTCCGAAGCTGCATAAAACTCCATACAAATATAGATTTATTTCGTCTTCAAGCCATTGTTCCACTACTAAACTATCTATTCTAGTTACTAGTACACTTGGTACAACCAAAAACCTGGTAATAAATTGTTCAAATAAGGGCTTTGAAAATAGTGGAATTAATTACTTTTGGAGTGTCAAAAATCGTTGGAAGTACTTGATAAATTGCATGCTTATATTGGTGATTTCGAATCTGTTCAAAGTTTTGATTTTTCTACCCTATATACCACGTTGCTTCGTAATCTTATTAAGAAAAAATTCACACACCTGATTAAATGGGCATTTAAAAAGTCGGAATGCGAATATATATGTTCAAACTCTTTTAGGTCATTTTTTAGTAACAACAAACAAAAGAACTATGTCAATTGGACCTGCTTTGATACTATAACTGCCCTTGAATTTCTACTAGATAACATTTGTGTTCGCTATGGAGATTCCGTATATCGTCAGGTTATCGGAATTCCCATGGGGACTAACTGTGCACCACTTATTGCGGACCTGTTTCTGTATTGTTATGAGTTACAATTTATGAATATTATCAGCAAAGACCCATCGAAACAACATCTGATTCAAAAATTTAATAACACTTTTAGATATTTAGATGATATATTGGCTCTCAATAATGAAGACTTCAGTATGTACACTAAAGAGATTTATCCTGCCGAACTGACTTTAAATAAAGCTAATACTAACAATGAACACTGCCCTTTCCTGGATCTTGATATCTTTATCTTTAACGGGAGGCTTAATACCAAAATTTATGATAAAAGAGATGATTTTTCATTTCCTATGGTTAATTATCCATTTTTAGATGGTGACGTTCCCTTGTCGCCATCTTATGGTGTTTATATATCTCAACTTGTTAGATTCGCTCGTGTATGTAACAACGTATTTGATTTCAACGAAAGAAATCTCTGTATTACTGAAAAATTATTACACCAGGGTTTTCGATATCACAAACTAGTCAAAACATTTACTAAATTTTATCATCAGTACAAGGACATCATTCGTAAATATAAATCAACATGCAGACATCTTATACGTTCAGGTATTTCACATCCAATATTTTATGGTAATATTCTTTACAAAGCACAAAAACGTCGGCGTTCACCTAAAAAAATAACCAAACCTTTAAACAGACTTATTCGGAAAGGATATAGTCAAGTCATTGAGGATTGCATATTTTGGTATTAATATTGATTCACTCATAGGGTCTTTGCATCGGAAATAAACACATTTATTCTAAAACCAGTTGTTGGCATGATACGGGTTATGTTCTCCTCATATATTTTATGATGGTATGATACTAAACCCCTAACGGGAGGGATTGTACTTGATTTTCATATGATGAAGACATAATCTTTCAATCAGTTTAATTGAGGTCTGGAGCTGGCATGTCAGTAACTGCTAGTAGTCCTTTGTTCATTTATGTATCATTGTCATTTTGCTTAGTTTCTTTTGTTACCTATTGTGACATCGGACTCGGACTTCTTTTAAACTTAGTTTTACTGTGCGTATTGCTATGTGTTTTTTTATTCTACATTGGCTAGAGATATAGGGGAGGGTTGAGATATCACAAAAAATGTTTAACCCCGCCGCATTTTTGCGCCTGTCCCAAGTCAGGAGCCTCTTGCCTTTGTTAGTCTAGTATGTTTTTTAATTTTAGTTCATTTATATGTTTTGGAGTTTAGTGTGACGTCCATTTTCACTGAACTAACACACAATTTTATTTAGGTGCCAGCTGAGGACCACCTCCGGGTGCGGGATTTTCTCGCTGCATTGAAGACCCATTGGTGGACTTCAGCTGTTGTCTGCTCTTTGGTCGGGTTGTTGTCTCTTTGACATATTCCCCATTTCCATTCTCAATTTTATAGTTCATGGAAATATAATTTTCCTAAGCCAGTTCGGCATTAAAACGTGTACAAGAACAAATAAAACAAAAACACAAGACAAGCGTCCTTTATGTACATATATAATTGATTTTCAGTAATTTTGGAGGCCCCTCATGGGGGTGTCCAAGTAACCACATAATCACAATTGTTTTGCCAATATAATCACATAATCATTAATTATTTTCTTAAACAAGACAATCAAACAATAAAAAATACAGTCCTAGATTATCAAATAATCAAATAATCATGAAATATTTGGTCTGGTATTCAAATAATCACTATTAAAACGGCCAAGTATAATCACATAATCAAAAACCTCATGAGGAGGCTCATTTTTGTTTATCGGATTTTCTGGCTGAGTTATGGTATTTGATTGAGTGGTAAAATGGCACTTTATTTCGTTTCCACGCAACAAGTTTAGAAATGTTCATGCAATGCAATTTGAATTCTGATACGTTGGTTTACTTGTGACAAAATTAGGGTATAATAGTTCGATATTCACATGATTGACGATTTTCGCGTTTGCCGTTCAGGAGTACCGGTCCTTGATTGATTGGAAAATGCCATTGACTATGAATGCCATTTCCATGCGGTCTTCTGAGAACACTTATCGAATGAGTATTTTGTAGGCGGAACGTGTGTCTGGTGTACAAAATCATAAGCGTGGTATCCTCGATGAGCTATTTTTTTCAGATTTCAATATGCTGTTTCTTTTGATCGAATGGAGGTCAAGATTGGTTTTGACAATTTTAACTTTTGCCTTCATGACTTTATGATCGTAAGGCCTAATTGTTTTAACACTAACACTATTGCCCACAGGTTTGTTGTCCTTTTACAGCCTCTAGGATGATTATGGAATTAATATATTGACTAAAGTCCACTAAACATTCGATATAATATTTCCATGGGTGGACGCAATCGTGGAGATGAGAACAATAACATAACCATAGGAACTCATTCCAATCTTTGCTACGCGTCTGCTGTCGACCAGTGAACTATGATCCTGGTCTAGTTATAATTTTCAGGATTTGTACTCTCATTTTATGTATTAAGTGTGTTTACATGCATATAAATGTTAAAACAAAAGAAAACTGTGCACATTATTTGACACGTTGATGTATCCTGTACCTGTGTGTTTTTTGTTTGATGTTCACCTGTATTGTAAATTGATGAGATATCATCAGTTTATATATTATTTCAGATTATTTCAGATTATGTTTTAAGGACATACGGTAAGAAACATTTTGATTAAGTTAAGTCAAATTCCTAGTTTGTGACAAATTTAATTAACTTTTACGTGTAATACAAATAAATATCAACTACAATTCACTTATAATCGATTCAAATCAAATCAGATTTGTTACTATATAGTATGTAGATTATTCAGTTTTAAAAGGCTTCACATGGGGGCATTTACAAGCAACAAAATTAACTCCATTGCAGCTCGTACACATTAGATGCCTCTATTGGCGTGGAAACTTATGGATTCCAAAAGACTTGGACTTTTATGTTATATTTTACATGATAAAACAGCAAATACCTTCATTATTAAATTAGATAATATCTCTCCATTTGAACAATATGATAACTGTTGTTAAACAAAAAATGTTGTACAATGTGTGGTATATATATTATTATAGTTATACTCTTAGGAAAATTATTTTACTTTCATTGTCGAGCCTGCGACTTTTGTCGCAAAAGCGAGACAGCGATCCTACATTCCGTCGTCGTCGGAAACTTTAACCACAGAGTGAATATTTGTGGACGCCGCCGCTGACGACGACGACGTCCACAAATATTCACTCTGTGGTTTAAGTTTTTCAAATTTTAATAACTTTCTTAAACTTTCCTGGATTTCTACAAAACTTGGACAGAAGCTTGTTTATGATCATAAGATAGTATCCAGAAGTAAATTTGGTAAAAAAAAAATCCTGTTTATCCGTATTTTACTCATAAATGGACTTAGTTTTTCTGCCAGTTAACATTACATTCCTTCTGTGGTTAAAGTTTTTCAAATTTTAATAACTTTCTTCAACTATCCTGGATTTGTACCATACTTGGACAGAAGCTTGTTTATAATCATAAGATAGTATTCAAAAGTAAATTTTGTTAAAAAAAATCCTGTTTATTCGTATTTCACTTATAAATGGACTTAGTTTTTCTGCCAGTTAACATTATAATTCACTCTGTGGTTAAAGTTTTTCAAATTTTAATAAATTTCTTGAACTATCCTGGATTTGTACCATACTTGGACAGAAGCTTGTTTATGATCATAAGATAGTATTCAAAAGTAAATTTAAAAAAACAAAAAATCCTGTTTATCCGTATTTTACTTATAAATGGACTTTTTCTGCCAGTTAACATTACATTCACTCTGTGGTTAAAGTTTTTCAAATTTTAATAATTTTCTTACACTATCCTGGATTTGTATCATACATGGACAGAAGCTTGTTTATGATCATAAGATAGAATTCAAAAGTAAATTTTGTTAAAAAAAAATCCTGTTTATCCGTATTTTACTTATAAATGGACTTAGTTTTTCTGCCAGTTAACATTACATTCACTCTGTGGGTAAAGTTTTCAAAATGTTAATAACTTTCTTAAACTATCCTTGATTTGTACCAAACTTGGACAGAAGCTTGTTTATGATCAAAAGCTAGTATCTAGAAGGAAATTTTGTAAAAAAAACATTTCCTGTTTTTCCGTATATTACTTATAAATGGACTTAGTTTTTCTTCCAGTTAACATTACATACAGTCTGCAGTTAAAGTTTTTAAAACATTAATTAGATTCATAAACATCCTTGATTCTTACCAAACTTGAACAGAAGCTTCATTCATTCAAAAGATAGTATCTAGAGGAAAATTTTTAACAATTATTTCCCCATTTTTGTTGAGCCTACGACTAACAGCAAAAGTAGGCGAGACACTGGGTTCCGCGGAACCCTTACGATTTTTTTTAGACTGGTTGTCTAAAAGTCGTATGATGCAGCTTTTTTTTAAAGGTTTGGTTAGCACTTTTTTGTTGGACTATACGAGGCATGTTTTGACCTGTTATTTAAAAAAAAATTGAAGTATCAGAATCCTGAAAAAAACGTACATACGCATAGCTAAAGCTGCTGAAATATAAAGTTAAGAAGGTTATACAGTGGCGAATCCAGAATAGTGCGAAGAAAGCGTACTCCCTACTTCGATGGCAAAAAAAAATCTCATGTTCTCACGATTTATTTGATTTTTTTTTATCGGAAATGGTAAAAAAATGTCGATGACATTTTCTGGAATAACGCCATCCCCCCCCCCCTTCCCCATATAATATTTTTTTCCTGGATCCACCTTTGTTTTATATCCCTTGATTTTATTGAATGTTATTTGTTTTAATCTTTAATTATACTGTCATGGTCATGTCAAATGTTTATGCCCTTCGAGGTCCTTACATGGAATAAAACAAATATCCTATTCTTCTATTCATACTCTGATAAAAGACGCTTGAGGACTAAATTATGTATTTCAGTAAGGCTTTTGGCATGTTTGGGGCGATGTGTAAACTGAAGGTACATTTCTTATCTTGTATCACTTAAAATCTCAAAATTCCAAAATTGAAAATGTGGTTCTAGCAATCCAAAATGCTTTCATTATATAATAGTTTTTATGTTCCGAGCTGATTTGCGTTCCTATTTATGCATTTTTATTACATTTAAAAAAAAGTTGTTTAAACCAACATATCAGTCTGTTTTTGTTATTGGTGCCACTTTTGCTTGTACCAATCTAACCCTAGGTGTACAAATTTTGGAAAATTCAACTATTGTCTATAATTGGGCTATAATAGATATTAAACTTATATTTGAAAATGCTCACCCTGGTCGCCGGGCTACATCATAGTACTTTAACGGTTGAACTGCGAACACAACAGGTTTGTTTTTTCAAATAATTATCGTTCTTTTTTTGTTCACAGATTATTGCGGCGACAACCATGGACCAACAAATTGAACGTAAACAATGACAACAAGTTTTCTGAAGCATGGTTTAAATGCAAAGCAAAATCTGCGGCAGCTATTTCGAAAGTTCAGAGATTTATGTAATCCACGTTGTATATCAATTGTAGGACTTGTGTGTCTGATTGTCCAGTTCTTGCTCTTAATTCTGTATGGCCATACAAGATGCGAAGGCGAAATCTGTGTAACCGAAAGTAAAAATAATTCCTCTTTCTACAGAATTTTTTTTTGGAACTGGAGAAAGAAAGAACCTCTCCTACCATTATGTCCAACTATACCCCCTGACCTTTGTAAGTATGAAAAACTAATAAAGAAACACGATATACAGAGACGGAATCATAGAATACACACACAAAAACCAAATAGAAAACAAACTATGTTTTATTATTTTTTGTAAAAAGTGAAAAAAAACAACGTATCACTTCCAAAAACCATAGTCATAATAGTTTTCAAAAATAACGGTAACGGATAATTATTTGAGACCTGTGACGAATCACAATCGGAATATTTTGACAAATCACGATAAAAATTTTAACCAATTTGACGTTAACGGTAGCCGAAAATGACCGTTTGACGCCTGACGGTAAAGGGCATTCCTATCCTCATATATACAATGTATCTTTGGTCGGGTTGTTGTCTCTTTGACACATTCCCCATTTCTATACTCAATTTTATAATGTATATATTTGTGTGTGTGTTTGTGTCTGGGTTATGTCACTAATGTGTTTTTTTTTTGTTTTTTTTTATTAAAAAAAAAGATCAAAATATGAAATTGATCGCTGTTCATTTTTCAATTTGAAAAGCTAAAATGGATAAAAATGAAAGCATTGGTTTTTATACGACCGCAAAAATTAAAAATTTTTTGGTCGTATATTGGTATGACGTTGGCGTCGTCGTCGTCGTCGTCGTCGTCGTCTGGCGTCGTCCGGCGTCGTCCGAAGACACATTGGTTTTCGCACTCTAACTTTAGTTTAAGTGAATGGATCTCTATGAAATTTGACCACAAGGTTCAATACCACAAAAGGAAGGTTGGGATTGATTTTGGGGGTTATGGTACCAACAGTAAAGGAATTAGGGGCCAAAAAGGGGCCAAAAATAAGCATTTTTGTAACTTCCAGACATAACTTGTGTGTTAGTGTATGGATATCTCTGACATTGTACCACAAGGTTCCATATCACAAAAGGAATGCTGGGATTGATTATGGGGGTAATTGTCTCAAAATTTTAGGAATTAGGGGCCAAAAAAGGGGCAAAAAACAAGCATTTTCCTAGTTTCATGACAATAACTTGTGTGTAAGTGTTTGGATATTTCTGAAATTGTACTACAAGGTTCCATATCACAAAGGGAAAGCTGGAATTGAGTTTGGGGGTAATTGCCCGAAACGTTTAGGAATTGGGGGCCAAAAAGGGGCCAAAAATAAGCATTTTTCTAGTTTCCAGACAATAACTTGTGTTCAAGTGTATGGATCTCTCTGAAATTGTACTGCAAGGAACCATACCACAAAGGGAAGGCTGGGATTGAGTTTGGGGGTGATGAAATCATAAGGGGGTTCAAAAAATTTGGGGGGGGGGATTTTTTTTTTTCTTTTTTTTTCTGTTTTTTCCTTTTTTTTTTCTTTTAAAATTTTCCATTTTAAGTTGGTTATTACTGATTTATATTTAAAAGCAAATAATAATGATATGGTAGGAGATACACACCAAACAGGATGTGTAAGTTATTATATAATAAGTATTGTGCAATAGCAAGAAATTTTCAATTGCACAGTATTGCACAATAGCTAGAAATCTTCAATTGCACAGTATTGCGCAATAGCAAGAAATCTTCAATTGCACAGTATTGCGCAATAGCAAGAAATATCCAATAGCACAATATTGCACAATAGCAAGAAATTGTCAATTGTACAGTATTGCGCAATAGCAAGAAATATTCAATTGCACAGTATTGTGCAAAAGAAGATACTTCGTATAAATTGCTTTTAACTTGATCAATTTCAATGGGGTTTTATTCTTGAATTCTTGGGGTTCTTTAATATGCTGAATCTAACCGTGTATTAAGTTTTTGGATTTTGGGCCCCGTTTTTAAATTGGTCCACATTGAGGTCCAAAGGGTCCAAAATTTAACTTTGTTTGATTTCGTCAAAAATTGAATTATTGGGGTTCTTTGATATGCCAAATCTAACCGTGTATTTAGATTCTTAATTTTTGGTTCCGTTTTCAAATTGGTCTACATTAAGGTCCAAAGGGTCCAAAATTAAACTTAGTTTGATTTTAACAAAAATTGAATTTTTAGGGTTCTTTGATATTCTGAATCTAAACATGTATTTAGATTTTTGATTATGGGCCCAGTTTTCAACTTGGTCCAAATCGGGGTCCAAAATTAAACTTTGTTTGATTTCAACAAAAATTGAATATATGGGGTTCTTTGATATGCTGAATCTAACCATGTATTTAGATTTTTGATTTTTGGGCCCCGTTATCAACTTTGTCCACATTGAGGTCAAAAGGGTCCAAAATTAAACTTTGTTTGATTTCATCAAAAATTGAATTCTTGGGGTTCTTTGATATGCTGAATCTAACCATGTATTTAGATTTTGGATATTGGACCATAATAGGTGAATGTTCAATTTAAAATTTTTAAGTTCTTAGACCACATTCATTCTGTGTCAGAAACCTATGCTGTGTCAAATATTTAATCACAATCCAAATTCAGAGCTGTATCAAGCTTGAATGTTGTGTCCATACTTGCCCCAACTGTTCAGGGTTCGACCTCTGCGGTCGTATCAAGCTGCGCCCTGCGGAGCATTTTATTGTATCATAAAAACGGACGAACGAGAATTGACAGAAACAATGAAACTGAGAACTTTCTATATTTTCAGATGGTTATATCAAACCTAGCACCGAAGTTTTAACTTGGGCTGAGCTCGAGTCTAAATTCTTGAACCTGCGTTATGGAGGGCGATATAAACCACGTAACTGCACATCACGTCATAGAGTGGCCATCATAGTACCATTTAGAGATCGTGAAATACACCTGAAGATTTTTCTAAATAATGTACATCCTATATTGCAGAGACAACAGATAGATTATGGAATATATGTTGTAGATCTAGTAAGTAAGAGATAGATCAACATAGTAAAAAAATGCAGTTAACCAATTTTCTTTATTTTTTCAAAATATTTTTTAGGGGAAGATGTTTCATAGTGTGAAGTCATGTCTTTTCAGGTTTTAAGGATTTTTTATGTCCCCGCCGTAGCGGAGGGGGCATTAAGTTTTACCCTTGTCCGTCTGTACGTCCGTCCGTACGTCCAAAAGTTGGTTTCCGTTCTCTTTCTTTAGTTTGCCTAAACCAAATGTTATGAAACTTATACACAATGCTTATTACCACAAAACACAGATCAAGTTAGAATTTTGGTGGCGTCACTTTAACCGTTCTAGAGTTATGCCCCTTTACAAATGGAATAATTGCTGAATTTTTCGTTTCCGTTCTCTAACTTTAGTTTGCCTCAACCAAATGCTTTGAAACTTATACACAATGCTTATTACCACAAAATACAGATCAAGTTTGAATTTTGGTGGTGCCACTTTAACCGTTCTAGAGTTATGCCTGTTTACAAAGGGAAAAATTGTCGAATTTTTCGTTTCCGTTCTCTAACTTAAGTTTGCCTCAACCAAATTTTATGAAACTTATACACAATTCTTATTATCACAAAATACAGATCAAGTTTGAATTTTGGTGGCGTCATATTAACCGTTCTAGAGTTATGCCTGTTTACAAATGGAAAAATTGCTGAATTTTTCGTTTCCGTTCTGTAACTTAAGTTGGCCTCAACCAAATTTTATAAGACTTATACACAATTCTTATTACCACAAAACGCAGATCAAGTTCAAATTTGGGTAGCGTCACTTTTACCGTTCTTCAGTTATGTCCTTTTATAACTTTATATGATATGCAAGCGGGGGCATCATCTGTGTCCCGTGGGCACATTCCACATTTATTTTAGTTCTAAAGTTTTCTCATATATATTTTAAAGACTAGATATGAAGTATATGTATAGAAATACATTTAATGTATTCTTTCAATAGGTAACCGTTCGTTTCATTTCAGGATTTAAAAGTTCAATTTAACAGAGCTTTGCTGCTGAATGTTGGCGTTTTAGAATCTTTAAGAATATACGACTATCAATGCTTTATATTCCATGACGTGGATTTATTGCCAGAAAATGATAATAATTTCTACAGTTGTCCAGATAATCCTAGACATATGTCTGTAGCCGTGAATCGACTAAAGTACAAGTAAGTCTATCAATTTAAAAATCAGAAATTATGGACCGGGGAAAATATAATACACTGTTTTCATTAGATATATCGCAACAAAAGGTCTAGTCCTATAATATAAGACTTCGGAGTTTCATATCATTTACATTCAACGTTTTTTATCGGATACTTTTTTTTTACTATCAATGTTGATCAGATCGTGAAGCCAACTAATTTCATTCACAGTCCCTTGGCCCAAGGCTTTGGACAGGATTTTGATATTTTTTTCACTGTTTGGTCTGAATTTTCAACTTTCTATTTTCATGCTACGTACTTTACACGACTATGCTTGTCTTAACTTGTTTTTGGTGAATTCATCAACTCTGATATATATATACAATCCCTTGTTTACTAACTAGAGTATGGATAGTCAGAAGATTTTTTTCCGGTACAGTGATATGTCTCCTGATATCTGGTTATACCTATTTAGTTCGGACGTAAAAAAATCTACCGCCGTTATTTAGCCATTGCTTATAATTAGATATTTTTATAACCACAACAAGTAGTAGCAGAGTCTGCCTTTTACAATCTGAAGCGAAAAGATTACCAACCGTTGCGTTATGTTTTTTTTAAATCTTTTAAAATCAAAATAAATATTTCTATACTGCTTTAGATTTTCTGGCACCAATATTACTGTTTCCTTGTTTTTACTGCTGAAATGGATTCAGTATTATATTTTCATTCGTTGTTCAGTCATTTCGAATTGATTTGATGAAAAACAAATAAAAACCAAAGTTTCGTTCACTCGCATCGTCTCCGTAATATTCAAGTAACAATAAAATATATTGGTATGATATATAGAGGACTCTGTTTATATAGAATCATGTATAGAGTGTTAAAAAGGTATTTTAGGTTCCTTGAGGGTAAAAATTAAAGAATTAGCTCTTTGGTATATTGTCTTTGATTTTTAAAAGCATTTATTTCCTCTTATTTTTAGACTCCCGTATGATAAGATCTTTGGAGGTGTATCCGCTATATCGAAAGAAGACTTTTTCAAAGTCAATGGTTACTCTAACAGATATTTTGGTTGGGGAGGAGAAGATGATGACATGTTTAATAGGTAAGACACTCCGTTTTTAATAATCCAGAAACAATCTGTTTTTCTGTATCATGCATCTCCAATATTTTATTTAGGTTTCTTCTACACCTGTATTGTGATGCGTTATACAATTCAAGCACGACAACCTTCACAAAGCCCTTGACAGTTAGATACAAAGATTGAACATCCAAACGATTAATTTGGTATTCCAAAAGAAAACTTCTCCAAATAATATCAGAATAAAGCCCTGGCAAAAAGGAAGTAGTTGTTATATGGTTTATCAAAAGACCAATCTGATTAAAATTCAGACCTATATTAACTCGCGTGATCGTACGTATACTCATATGAGTATAATTATATCTTTATTAGATTGATCACTAGACACAACAAAGTAATATCGATATGATGTAGCATAGCATCGACTAACCAGACACTTCACTATCTTATCATTTCTATTTTTTCAGAATTAACGCAATGAACTTGACCACAACAAGATATCCTTCGGATATTGCTAGATATATAATGTTGCCGCATGCCAAACAAGAAGAGAATTTAGCCAGGTAAATACTGGTTTTTTACACCTTCGTATAAAAAAACCCAAATTCCATTACAAGCTTTACAGTACCTTCAGATAAGTTTTTAACTGATTATTGTTGATATTCAGCAGTCTATGATAAGTCAAAGCAGAAAGTAGAAAAGAAACAGATGAACTTCGTTTTGTAATAGAATTGAGAATGGAAACGGGGACATGTACACAGTTATAAGATAAAACAATGCATAAACTGTAACACAAAGAGAAATATAGCCATTTTATAGATATAACTTAAATTGCACTGAGACAAATGGATACGAGCACACCCTCTTCTTTTCGAATTATCATACCTTATTAACTCCTTCTTGTCTTAAAGTATATTATGTGTGGTGAATGACTAATGTCACCAAATTGTACTACGGGTTATCAACTTATCTCATCAATAGATGTTCTATATATGTGAAATCGAGTTTTCGGGAAATGATGTCTGTAAAGAATGAATGCATATATATCATATGTATAGTATTTTGATAGTATATTTGTACAAAAATTTGTTAAGAAGAACTATCAGTTGTTTATGTATGAAACCCTCTATATGTATACGATTATCCATTAATTCATTATATTGTTGATATCCTCTAATTTGTATATACAGGTTTGATATATTAAAGTCTGGGAAAGTGACTTTCAAGAGAGATGGAATAAATACACTGAAATACGATAGACTGATACTGGATTTCCGTCGACTCTTTACATATATATTGGTCACTGTTAATCAAACGGAAATAGCTTCTGTAAGTATATGAGGTAAACACGAAAATATGAGAGTATATAAAGTAAACACTATTACAATGTTACAGAGATGAGAATTATTCCACTGATGAAATAAAAAAGTTGAGAACTCACATAATGTACCCCGCCACATGTGCATAATCCAAGTTAGGAATTTTGCCAGTATTTGACTCCGGTTTTAAAGTTATTTTTTTTTATTTAAGGAAGCAGATCTTTGGTTTTTCAAATGAACATTTTATTGTTGGTAGCAGGCCTTTGGTCAAATCTATGTAACAATAAGCTTGGCATGAGATGTTTATTCAATATGTTTACTCTTTTTTGGATTTATTGTTTTTGGCCGATATGGCTGTCCCATTGAGTCTATGTCCCCAATCACATTAAGGCACATCGAAAAAAAAAGTGTCATTAAAAATTTTCACAATATACTAAACTGTGAACAGAGTAGTTAAACATATTTTAATATCGAATACAGAATTTCATTTCAGATTACATGTATATCAAATATTAGATTACAACCAAATGATTTGATTATTTTAGCCCTAACTTTGTTCGGGCGAATATGTTTATTCAGACTTAGTATTATTCTTGGAGCAGGCAAATAGTCATAATGATTGACTTGGTAAAACTTTTTTATCTTGAAATTCTAGGGGAGAGGCATCAGATACGATGTAGAAACAGACCAGGGCTGACAAAATATTGCTGAGATGACTGACCAGTATATATGATATGGAGGAATTATAATTATAATGTTATACAAGATTGATCAGAAAGCTATATTGTGATATATGTAATTGACATTCCAATGATGGGAACAATACCGTGGCATGTGTGTACAGATATGAACATAAATAATTATAATGATAAAAAAATGTCAACATATTAAATGTGTACACAACAAAAACTGCATCCTTATCCTTATTTGAATTATTGGGATTTTAATACTGTATACTGTTAAAATATAGTTTTTGTCTCACCTTGATCTCATTTTCATGGTACAGCGACTGCTTGAAAAATAATTCCATGCAAATTTCTCATTTATTGCGAGTAATAGGATAATAATATTTGGTATACAGGATCCTTTGCAAGGTCCACATGTCCATCAGACAGGATGTAAGGTGTACATGTCCGTTTGACAGGATTTTTCACCGCCTCGGTGGTCTCGTGTTCGCCTCGAGTGCGGGAGGTCGTGGGTTCGAACCCCGGCTGGGTCAAACCAAAGACTTTTAAATTGGTTTTTGCTGCTTCTCCGCTAAACACGCGGCATTCAGGAGTAAGAGCAAAGACTGATCGGCTCGGAGTCAGAATATTCCTGCGGACTGTTACCATGTGAACTAACACGTTAAAAATCCGGCTCAGCCTGTTGGTCTAGTACAAAGCAGGATTGATATTCGTATTACATTAACATGTTCTCGTCCTGAATATGCATATTAATTTGCCGCTGGACGTTAAGAAGTCACCCATTATCATCATCATCATCATCCAGAGTTTCATCCAGAGTTCACCTGACCTCGACCTCATTTCATGGTTCATTGTCCAAGTTTTAGTTTTTGTGTTTTGGTCTGTTTCTCAGACACTATTATTAGTAGGTCAACGCAAGTTGGTGCATATAATGATTTTCAGGTGAACATGTATATATCTGGTAGGTATCATCTGACCTTCACTTCAATTTCATGGTTCAATGGTCAATGTTAAGTTTGATCCTTTACTCATATTCCATAGATACAAGCAATAGGTCAATTATATTTGGTGTACGGATTAATTGTAAGGAGTTCATGTCTGTTTGGTAGATATAATCTGACCTTGATCTCATTGTAATGGTGCATTGGTCAATGTTAAGTTTTCTTGGTTTGGTCCGTTTCTCAAGATTTCAGGCATGATCAGGCATGTCCCTTCGAAAGTTTTACGGACGAGTTGGTTGACCTTTATGGAATATCTGTTTTACAGATGACGACGGATATGTTTTAATTGTCGTAACCACAATCCCGTCCTCTTTTCCTCGAACTGACCCACCGAATTAGACTTATCACCGGGTTTGTAATTACATGAGCAACACGACTTGTGACATATGTGGAGCAGGATCTGCTTACCCTGCCTGAGCACTAGAGATCTGTAACGTAATGGTTTGATAATAAAACGATGAATAATATTAACTACATGAAAATAATACGAAGTTTTAATGTATATATGTTCATACGAGTGCGAGCACAAGAATAATCTGCCTAAATCTATAAACGCATTCTGATTAACAGTAACTTGGAATTGTCTGGTGATCGTGAAGTGTGTTCCATAAACAGTAATGTTTATACTAGAGGCTCTGTAATACAGGCACACGATGCGATACTAATGAACTATATCATGGTTTATTGAAATGCATCTTCATTACGCTCCAGGTTTCTTAATTAATATTGATAAAGGACAATTGGCTTATCTATCATCAAGGCGAATGGTCATCTAGCGTTTTGGTTCGTCTGATAACGGGTTTGTAACATTCATATATAATTATTAAGGACAACATAAACATACAGTCAACTATGTTACAGATCACCCACTGTTTTGAATTTAATGGGGTTCGTGTTGCTCAGTCTTAAGTTTACTATGTTGTGTTTTGTGTACTGTTATTTTTCTTATGGTCGTTTTTCGTTTTTTGCCGTGACATTATCAGTTTGTTTTCGACTTATAAGTTTGAATATCCTTTTCTTTCGCTCTTTGACCTATTTATAGATCTTGTCCTGTTGATAATGTTTGTTATCTACATTTTCTCACTACCTACTGTGATTTCTGCATAAAACATCAAAATGGAAATATTATGCAAGGGTAATAACTACAACAAGGAGTCAAGTGTCAATTTCGGCCATGCTGACTACCTATAAGAATTTGTTCTGCTGATCATTTTTTTCCATTTTACAGCTTCCCTTTATAAATTATAATTTTAATATCAAAATTTGCACAAAATGTAAAAATCTTCAATAAAGAGCTATAACTTCTCACAGTTTTGTTCAATGTAGATGATAGGTAGATCTTGATATTCTGAAAATGTCTGATGCAGCAAGATTTTCATCTATATTGATTTACAAGATTATAGACAAAACTTGCAGTTTTACCTTTATGTTGAGCTCTTATGTTCTGTATAGCCTTAGCATCCATGTTGTTTGGTTTACGTGATAACAGGACACATTTAAAAAAAAAACTAATGATAATCAGTGTGGCCAAGTTTGTTTACACTTGGCACAGCAGTTTCACATTTAAAAATGGCGGAGGACTGATGGCAAAAGCGGCGTTGATGCTGAAATGGGCATTAGCATAGGTACTTGAGGACAGGATCATTTCATAATCCCTCCTCCATTTTTTCCAAAATCCGTTGTTTTTCTCTTTTAATTTCCATCATTTTCACGTGTTTTTGTTGTGATACGTATGTATATAGTAAATTAGGTCTGTTTGATTTCAAACTATAAGTCAATCATCGTTTTACATGTATACTAGTAATTTTTGGGGCCCTTTATAGCTTACTGTTCGGTTTGAGCCAAGGCTCCGTGTTGAAGACCGTACTGTGACCTATAATGGTTTACTTTTATAAATTTTGACTTGGATGGAGAGTTGTCTCATTGGCACTCATACCACATCTTCTTATATCTATATATGAATGATTTGCATCAGTAAACGAAATCGTTATTCCTGGTGTCTCCTTTGTTTCACTTGTTAATGAACATGCTGACCACCACTTGCATAGTTGCATAAATACGGATTCAAAAGATTGATAAAGTTTTTACGCCAATATTCCACCAATAACTTCTGTACAGACAAATTACTATGGTAAACGATAAATAGACTGAACTGGATTCAGGCTGTCTAATTATATAGAACACAAACAGTAGTATTGATTGGTATTTCTTCTACAGCACTGCCAGTCACCACAGGGTACCGTACTATGTCCCATATTTATTCTACAGCACTGCCAGTCACCACAGGGTACCGTACTGGGTCCCATATTTATTCTCATTTACAGCACTGCCAGTCACCACAGGGTACCGTACTGGGTCCCATATTTATTCTCATTTACACAATCTTTTCAGAATATTTATCACACTGCAAATTTAGACTCTTTGTTGATGACAGTATTATATAAAGAGAAACCAAATCTCAAGAACTGATGACTACAAAATCTACAAGATATAGATGATGCAGTGTATGGAAACCTCACACACCAGATGCTAAAATAATGCAAATAAAAGCAGCTATAAATTGTAACCATCATGTTACAAATAAGATAAATAATCCCAATTTACCTACACTATAACTAAAGCCCGCGCCCTTAAATCTAGATCAATAATATTTTAAACTTCATGTCATACAATCTCAGTGAAATACTGTTAAAAATCATATCTAACCATAGTCGAAAAAGACATAACCATCCAAATTCTTTTATACATATATAAAATACAAAGTGAACTTATGAATGTTTTCTTTTCAACAAATCATCATTTAGTGCAACATGTTACCAATAGCTGCAGTAGTCGACTACAGTTGACAGCTTCAGGGAACACCTTACACAAAGGGTTCTCTGACAACTGATTTAAATTGATACTTTATTTTGTAAATACGTGTATTGTTGACTGCAATCGCTTTTGTAATGTACATTCCACACAATCTTATCAAGAAAAAGTTTTCATATTTAATTAAATGGTATTTTGAAAAATCTAATTGCAAATTTATTTGCTGTAACTCGTTTAAAGCCGTTTTTTCTGTAACGAAAAAGGAAAGTATGCTAGATAAACTTACTGGAAATCTGAAGATATGATTCATCGGAAGCTTTAAATTTTCTCTTGGACAACATATATGTATGTTTCGGCGATAAAGTGTATCGACAGGCAGTAGATATTCCTATGGGCACTAATTGCACCCCTTTAATATCAGATTTATTCCTTTATTGCTATGAATCACAGTTTATGGCCAAAATCCTTTATTGCTATGAATCACAGTTTATGGCCAAAATCCTTTATTGCTATGAATCACAGTTTATGGCCAAAATCCATTATTGCTATGAATCACAGTTTATGGCCAAAATCAGTAAAGACACGTCATTGCTACATTTAGTTGACACATTCAACAATACCTACCGTTATCTTGATGATATGTTTTCATTAAATAATCCAGAATTCTCTAAATATACTACCGAAATTTACCCAAAGGAACTTTCTTTAAATAAATCTAACATAAACAGCAGTAGTTGTCCTTTTCTAGATTTAGACATTTCAATTTCTAAAATGAAACTCCATACAAAAATTTACGACAAAAGAGACGATTTTTCATTCCCTATTGTTATTTTTCCTTTTTTAGACGGCGATGTTCCTTTGGCTCCATCATACGGTGTTTATATATCCCAACTCGTTCGTTATGCCCGTGTGTGTAGTGATGTCATAGATTTTAACGAACGTAATCAATGTATCACTGGTAAATTATTAAGTCAGGGATTTCGTTACCATAAATTACGTAAAACTTTTACTAAATTCTTTCATAGATACAAAGATTTGATTAGTAAATTTGGCTGTACCTGTAGAAAACTTATTAAAAATGGTATTTCACATCCTAAATTTTATGGTAATATTGTTCTAAAAGCGCAGAAATCACTATGTGATCCGTGTAAACTTATCCAGGAACATATATACTGTTCCCAGACTTATCGAACCTTTAAAAAAACTTATTCAGTAAAGGTTATCTTATTAATGTTGTAGTAAGATCTTTGAATATTGTTTTCATTGGCACTAACATCGATTTTGTCATCAACAAATTAAAACATAAGTAAATATGTATTCTTTTAGAATGTTTTTTTGGGATGTATTCTGTCATTCAATGTTTACTTATTTTGTGTTATATCTCATCTTACTATTTTTAATATGTACCACCTTTGATAAGTATTT